TTCACGCCTGCCATGATCATTAAAAATGTTCTTTTTACTTTTTTTTTGCAAAATGGTGTCAGGCGGTATTTAATAAAAAAAATTAATATTTATATATAAATAATTTAAAATTAAAAAAAAAGTATATTTTTATTATGCTATAATAATAAATATTTAAAATCAAAATTATTGACAAATATCCAATTGCTTAATAATAAATCCCTCTCTTTAATGAAGGAAATACTAAAATAACTAAAAGATGACATTTAATATTTTAGTTAACAAATTTATTTTCTTTTAAAGTTTAAAATTTGTAGCAAATTTTAAGAATAAAAAATAAAAAAAATTAAATTACTTTTTAAAAATCAAAATTTGAAGAAGAATCGAAAACCACTTAACAATAAATACCTAATTAATTCCAACCGTATACATATTTCAACATTTAAAATATTTTTGTTAGGTTCATTTAATATATAAACTTTGCGTGCCAAATGAGTGCTTTTAAAGAAAAATAAGAAAAAATGTTTTCGAAAAATGAGAAAAGCTTTAATGGATTTAAAAGCCAAAAATAACAAAAATTTGTCCTTCCTAAATTTGAGGGTGGAATAAAATAAATAAAATTCTTAAACATTTTATGCTCGTTAGTATTTCTTTTCTTTCATTTTTAAAAATAAAAAGACTAAATATCATGTATATATATTTTAGAAGAATGGCAACTGTTTCCTCTTTTTTTTGATTAAATAAATACTTATATTTTTATATAAATCTTTTTAAAAATAATTTAAAATAAAGAAATTTTGTTGCTTTAAAAGAGAGATTAATTCTTAGTTTTAATTGTTTTATAATTGAGAGAAAATATTTCAAGAAAAATTGAGGGTGGTAGGTAATGAATAAATGTGAGGAAATGATTGATTATATTTTTAAAAAGATTTTAGAAAAAATTATTTTTAAATAAAAATTTTAATCTATAAAAATACAATTTAGTAATTAAAAATATTTCTGATAACTACATATTATTTTTTGTAAAAATAATTTTGACAAGTGAAAAAGAAAAAATAAAAGTTAAATAAAATATTTATTCTGTTTTAACAAAAATATTACGATTTAGTGAAGGATTTGGATCCAACGGCAGTGAATGAATTAGATGAGTATTTTTAAATGTAGTTTTACTACAATTTTTGGTTTTTTGTCCTAACAAATAAGAGGATTTGGAAAAACCATTTAGCATTGTTAGTTTATATTTTGTATGTAAACGATTTTTAACGGCACTAACTCAGAAACAAAGAAATATTAGCGAAATCAAAGTAAACTCTAATAAAAACTAATGAGAATCGAAAATATAATGCCTTGGGAAAACATATGTACATATAAAGACAAAATATTTAAAAATTAATTTATTTAAATTTGTAGAAAATTATTTTTTAATCCTAACAAAATTTTATTAAACAAAAATTTATTAACAAAAATTGACTGAAGGAGAATCAGTAAGAGTGCCCTAAACTTTTGCAAATATGATTGGAAAAATATCAAATCCGTGCCGATTTTTTTCAATTAAAAAAGTTTCGATAATTCAAGCATTGGTATTTCAAGATCCTGGCATTTCAAGATCATACCGAAAAAAGATAAGCTTTTAAATAAATATGTAAAATGTTTTCAAACAAAATTTTAAAAAAGTGAATTGAAAGATAATTGAGATTTTATATTCAAAAAATTAAGGCACAATACAATTTTATTACATTGCATCGAGATCAAATACCAATGCTCAACAAACGTCATACTCTAGGGTATAATTTTTTAGTTTTTTTAATTCCTTAAAAACGAAGTTCTTTTTGGAAAAAGAATCGTTTAAACATTTAACACAGGTTCTGAAAATTTTCTGCTGCTTTCTTGTTTTAAAAATTTATGAATTAAATTTCTCAACACCTCTCGTTTTATTAGAATTTTTAAAATTTTATTTTTACAATTAAGATTAAAAATAATAGCAAAAAGAGAGTTGTGATAGAAGTTACAACAAATAATTTAAAAATTAAAGTCAGTCCTCAATATGGTATTATTCGGCCAGGCTTATTTATGAATATTACAGTGATCGCTGAACCAATTTTGAATTTTTTGAAAACGACCATATAATCATTAAAGTTTTTAATGCGCCAAAAAATGCTATGAGTGAAGTCAACATTAATTGGTTGGAAAATGCTCGCTGTTATAGCATCCGAAATCTCCCTATTAATTACAATAGGTTTTTTTTTAATATTTTTAAACCATAGGTTCAATTTTTCCGTATTTATAAAAAATAATTTTACTAATTAAGATTCAATTTTTTGGTGTTACGACAAGCGGATACGCACGTGCGGATGCGACAATTCCGGACGACAACTTCAGACGACAATTCCGGATTAAAATTTTTCTAAAAATTTTAAAAATTATTGAAAAAAGATCCCATTTTCTAGTCTCGGTTGTCAGTTTCCGACTTTTGACAAGTTCTAAAATTTTTCAACCGATTTGGCACTTAAAACTTTAAAAAATCCTAAATTTTCTTAAAATTTTATATCCGGAATTGTCGTCTGAAGTTGTCGTCCGGAATTGTCGCATCCGCACGTGCGTATCCGCTTGTCGTAACACCAAAAAATTGAATCTTAATTAGTAAAATTATTTTTTATAAATACGGAAAAATTGAACCTATGGTTTAAAAATATTAAAAAAAACCTATTGTAATTAATAGGGAGATTTCGGATGCTATAACAGCGAGCATTTTCCAACCAATTAATGTTGACTTCACTCATAGCATTTTTTGGCGCATTAAAAACTTTAATGATTATATGGTCGTTTTCAAAAAATTCAAAATTGGTTCAGCGATCACTGTAATATTCATAAATAAGCCTGGCCGAATAATACCATATTGAGGACTGACTTTAATTTTTAAATTATTTGTTGTAACTTCTATCACAACTCTCCTTTTGCTATTATTTCTAATCTTAATTGTAAAAATAAAATTTTAAAAATTCTAATAAAACGAGGGGTGTTGAGAAATTTAATTCAGAAATTTTTAAAACACGAAAGCATCAGAAAATTTTCAGAACTCGTGTTAAATGTTTAAACGATTCTTTTGGCAAAAAGAACATCGTTTTTAAGGAATTAAAAAAACTAAAAAATTATACCCTAGAGTAAGAATTTGTTGAGCATCAAACGGCGCATTCAAGTGTAAATAAAATCATTATTAAAGTGGAGTAAAAGGGTTTTAATATCTCGAATAGAATTACTTTTACAAACATCTGATTTATCTTGTTGATTTCCATTCACCAATTCTATCATAAATTGCTGTAGTTCCTGCCCAATGAAATATCCTGTACAAGTCACATAAATTAACATTTCTCTTTTTCCAATTATCATCGCAGTTTGGTTTAGAAATAACAATTGAAGATTCTGAAGTGATACGAAACCTTATCTCGTTAATGCCAGTATTTCCTATCTAAATTTAAAGTTGAAATGGTTTGAAGTTTAAATAGAAATGTTACCTTTACAACTTGATGTTTATATGTTTGTGGGTTGAGAAAGATTTTTTCGGAAGGCCATGTTATTATTTTAGGATGCGGAATAATAGCCATGTAGAAACAATTTATTTTTAAATAAAGAAGTGATTGAGATACAAAAATACTTTTCTAAAACATTGGAGAAAAATGAAAAATTTTAATGATGAAAAATCACAAAAAGTTAAAAAGAAGTATAGGTGAAATGTTTCATATACTTTTCTCTTTAATCTGCTCTGCAAAATTTATATTGGGCCAGGATTAGGGAACTGCAAATCGAAAAAGGGACACGCCCACATTGTCGCGGGCCATATTGTCGCGACCACTTTGTCGCAGGCCACATTGTCGCAGGCTTTGTTTTGATTTTGCTCGCCACGTGCCGTACTTAATCCCACGGCCACAACGATGGGAAATTCGAAAAAGTTTTTTTTGTTTTTTAAGTTTTTATTTCTTTTTTTTTTAATTTAGTTGATTTCCGTCAGTTTCTGTTTTTGTAAAAATATTTTTTGGCAAGTGAAAAACAAAAAAATAAAAGTTAAATAAAATATTTATTCTGTTTTAACAAAAATATTTTAATTTTAGTTAAGGACATACATCCCACGGCAGTGTATGGATTTTAGTTGATATGTATTATTCTTAAATTTAGGGTTAAAAAAACAATTCTTGCCTTAAAGGGTCTTTCTGGAATAACCATCTAGTCTGTCGTTATGAATTTTGGATAGTAACCTAAAACAAGGAAAGATTACAGCAATCAAAGAAAATTCTTAAATTAATGAAAATTCAAATATATATTGCCTTGGGATATATAAAGACAAAATACTTAAAAATTTATTTAAATTTGTAGAAAATGTATTTTTTAATTTTAACAAAATTTTATTAAAAAATAAAAAATTGAGAAAAGGAGATATGTAATTAATAAAATATTTGCGAGAAAATTGCTTAATTGAGAAATTAATAAAACGGAAAAGAAAATATAGTTTAAATATTTTTTTAAAATTTATTTTAAAGTATTTTTAAAACTTTTTATCTGATAACTCGAATATTAATTAGCGATAACTTTTTATTTACCGATAACTTTTGCTAAAATTTTAAAAATAAATTTAACTTCAATGTTTTTCTAAGCCGTTTTTATTTTTTTTTAATTTTAAAAATAAAAGAAAAAATAAAAAAAGCAAATTAACTAGAAAATCAAGTTTAAATATTTAAATAAAAATATTTTTTTTCAAAATTTGCTTCTTTTTAATATGAAAAAAATAATTATTTTAGGTATATTTTAAGTGAAGAAGAAAGCAAAGTGAAAATATAATTGTGGCATTTTCGAATATTTAAATTAGAATATTTTTAAATTATTTTTTGAAATAAAATTGACAAATAAAGGAAAAAAGAAAAAGACAAAAAGGGCAGGTAAAAAACAAATAACAAGAAAAAAGTGCTGATTTAGAAGAGTTTACATTTTTAATTATTACCCTCCTTTTCAAATCAACACTTTTTTTATTTTTATTTACCGATAACTTTTGCTAAATGTGGTTTTCCATAAATTGGCTGATGGGGATGTTGTGGTGGTGGAGGGCCGCCAAAACCTCTAGCAGCAGGATGTTGCTGGAAAATAGCATGAGGAGGTGGGGGTGGTGGCATTGGCCCGCCTGGTGATAACCTGCTGCCTTTCATGAAGTGAGGCTGAAATTAAAAAAATTAATTTAAATAAACATCTTAAATAATTTTAGTATACACTATTAATAAAAACATTTAATAATTTTATATAAAAAGTTTATTCTTTACAAAAAAACACACACAGGTGGAATAGGAGATGGCATAATAGGCAATGGAGGTGCACCAGGATGTGGACCTGGCATTAAACCTGGAGGTCCAGGAGGAAGCCAACCAGGCGGAACAAATGGAGAAGTTGGTGTTGGAGATGGAATTCCTCCCTAAATTCATTTAAAAATGTAAAAATATTGATTAAAAATAAAAACATTTACCGCCAGAAAACGATGTAATTCTTGTTCTGTATCAACAATTAATACAAAAAATGGAGAACCTTTAAAAAAATTTTCAAAAAATAATTTCGAAAAATAATTAAATACCAGGAACATGTTGTCCATGCCATTTAACCTCAACTTGGTAATCACCCGGCTCTCGAGGTTCATATCTATTTTTTAAATAGTTTATTTTTCAACATCAGATAACATAACATACTTGCAATGAATTGTTCTTTCCTGTTCTCTATCTCTTTGCATCTCTACATTAAATGCCCCTTTAGGGCCACGAACTCTAACAGTTAATTGGCCGGCACCGGCTCCTTTCGTTTCAACAACAAAATTGGATTTGAAACTGTGGAGGATTCCATGTTCAATACCCGGGCCATAAACTTTAACTAAATTAAAAAGAATTGGAAAAATTTAAGAGATCTAAAAATTGCCTTTTGAAGGGTCTGGTGGATGGTTCACATTGAATGTGAATGGACTATCACGTACATGCTCATTTTCATATTTAACAGAAAGTGTATGTTTGCCTAATTCTTTTGGTTGTATACGTAACATATACTTTAAATAAATTAATTTTTTTTCTAAATATTTTTTGTTAAATTTTTTCCTCACAGTTCCATCTCCATTATCCAAAAGTTCACAATATTCCAATTGACTTGTACCCGAACACTGTGCAGATATTTGACCTGGTCCAGCTCTCCTAGCATCTATTAATGTTTGCATATCTTCTCCTAAAATTCCCATTTTTAATGGACGTCCATCTACTTCAATTAATTGAGCTGGAGAAATTTCAGGGGCTTTCACATTAACCTAAAAAAGAGAAAATATTTAAAAGTATTTATTTTTTACTAACAATGCTGGGAGATCCAGGAACATGATTTCCATCAATTTTAACAGAAAGTTGATATTTACCATCAACCAATGGAGTATAAACACCCTAAATTTTAAATTTTATAGAAATTCCTATAAAATTCACCTTATAAACTTGATTTCCCAAAGCACTCAATTTAACAGGAATATCAGCTCTATCACCAAGTAATGTCGCTGTACATTTTCCCATAGCCTCCTTTCTTAAATTGCTAGCATCTAATATAAATTCTGCTGGTTCTTTAATACGTGCTGTTGTTAAACCAGAACCTCTTAATTTTACCTTAAAAATTTTTTATTTAATTTTAAATATTCTTTTACATTTCCCAAAATTAATTCTTTTCTTTCAATTATTTCACTTTCTGCTGCTTCTTCAACAACTTCCTTATGTCTTCTTTGCCGTTCTCCATTCATTTCTGATACGTGTGTTGGCATTTTATTAGATTGTTCAGCAATTGCAAGTATTGGGTAAGCATTTGGAACAACCAATTCTTTAAAATAAATTTTTTAATAATTAAAGATTTTTATTATTAAAAATATATATTTTAGATAAAATCTTTAAAAGTTTAATTAAAAAGATTTTTATCTAAAAATTCTAACCAGAACAATATAAATAAATTTTATATTTTCCAGATTTGCGAGGAGTAAATAATAATTGGAATTTTCCATTATCCAAAGGATGTACTTGTGTTTGTTGTTCTAAAGGTAATAATTCCCCATCGGCATCCCTAACTTCAGCTCTGATTTTTGCTTTAAAAATTTTTTTTCAAAAATATTTTTCCCCTTTTTTAATTACCAGGTCCAGCCTCACTACAATCCAAATTAATAACATTTCTTTGACCAACAAATAATTGTAACATTCCATCTGGCCTAATAATTTGTTTTCTATCATCAGAAATAATTAAAACTTTTGTTGGGTCAACAACCGTTACTGGAAATGGACTCCCTAAAAATTTAGAGAATTTTTTTCGAATGATTTTTAGAAACAAACCATTAACTAAACGATTATTAAATTCAATATTAACTTCATATATTCCAATTTCTTGTGGTCTAAAAGCAATTTCTGTTGTTTCATCGGGTCTTCTATTTGTTGTATAACGAACTTTCTCACCACTAGGACTTTTTACTTCAACCTTTTAAAAAAGGGGAATTTTTTGTTACTACAATCCCTCATAGAAATTAAATATCCCTTAATTTTGTTATATTTTAATTCTTGTAATTTTTAAATTATTTTTCTTTACAATAGAACCCCAATAAAAATAATTAAGAAAAGCCACCTTTAACCCCCCAGGCTGTTTATTTGCATCAAAAATCATTGAAGCTTGCTGTGCCCTTTCAATTGAATAATCTAAAGCAGCACCATAAACGGTAGGGGAAGTTTTTTGTTCTTCCACAACAATTTGGAATGGAGAGGAGGGAATGGCAAAACCAGCTAAACGGACAGATAAACGATGAACACCGAGGCGTGTTGGGAGGAAAGTAAAGGAATCTTCACCGACAGAATTTTTAGTCTTTAAAATAGTTAAAAATAATCATTTATTTATTTACTCTTTTACCCTATCTAATTTTAATGTCTCATTTTGTGAATCAACTAATTCAACATTTAAAGCCCCATCTCCTGCTGCTTTTCGAGAAACTTTAAAAGAGAAATTATATTTTCTCAATTTAAATATTTATTTACCAATAAAATTAGATAATGTCCTTAAAGAAAATGGACGGTCTATACCACGTACATAAACCCGTTTTGGGTCTATTACTTCACATAGGAAAGGTGAACCAATAAGGGGTTCATCACCAAAAGTAACTTCAATACGATGTGGACCTAAAAATTTTTTTTAAATTTTACAGAGGACATTTAAAATTAATTAATTACCACAAATTTCTGGAGTAAATTCAACCCAATAACTATCATCTTGTTGTTTATAACAACGAACAGGAAGTGGACTGCCCTGGGGATCTTAATTAATAAATTAATTAATTATTAATTATGTATTTTTTAAATTAACTAAATAAGTTAGTAAATTCAAAAAAAATCTAAATTAAATCTAAAAATATTTTTTTAATTATACTAATAGTTAATTTGGTAAAAATGTTATATTTTTGGGTAGAAAAATTAAGAAAGTATAGGTAAAAAATATTATATTAAAGATGAAGCAATTAATTGAAAAAAAATTAGGGAAAGAGAGAAAGATTTAGCAGAAAAACTTTAAAAAAAAGCAAAAAACAACTAAAAAGCAAGCAAAAAAGAATTTAAAAAAACTAAAAAAAATATTAATTAATTAAAAAACACATTAATTTATTTATTTATTCACCCAACTAGTTACTATAACATCCAATTCTGTCGCTCCACTTCCACTTGTGCCTGGACTAACTTCAAACCGAGCAGTTTTCCCTCTTTGAGCTCTGTTAAGTGCATCACCACGAGCACGTGGAGAACCTCGATCGCTAATTATACATTCATATGGACATTCTTTTTTAATTTAAAGAGAAAATTTAAAAAGAAATTCAAAAATAAATTACCAGGCAATTCAACTCCATCAATTTTTGCTGTCTAAATATATTTTAAAATAAAATATAAAATATTAAATTTTAAACATACAATTAAATGTAATCCAGGTAATCGAGGTGTGAAAGCAATTGAATGAATACCTTTCTTAACTCTTTTCATCATTAGACTTTTAACCTAAAGAGAAAATTAAATAAAATTATTTGAATAAAAAATAGGGGAGGGAGAGTATACTTCCATAAAAGCTAAAAAAATACTCAAAAAATATTTAATAGTTAAAAACAAAAAATATTATTTTTATTTCAAGTATAGCGCCACTCAAGTATTGCGCAGAAATAAATGTAAATATCCTCCTCTCTATAGCTAATTACTTAAATTAGTTTAAAAAAAGATGAGAAGTAGGACATTACAATAATTAAACAATAAAAGAATTTTTAAAGAAAAAAATAAATAAAAATAATTATTTGTTTAAAGAAAAATCAGGAAATTCAAAAACATATAAACACTTACCGGTTCATTATCAGATTTATGACAAATAGAGACAGAAGCACTTTGTCCACCCGAATTAGACCAATCAACTAAAAATAAAAATTAACAAAAAATCTCAAAAATTAAATTAAATTACGAGTAAATTTCTGTTCAACCCCAACAACATCCCCATTTCTCAATCCAATAACTCTGACAGCCGAAAGGTCAAGTACATTAATAATTAGAGGGGATCCACATAAATTATTTCCAAAACGATCTCGAATAAATAATTGGTGCTTCCCTTCTGTTTGCGGCTGCCAATCTGCACGGATCGTATTTCCATCAATTATTCGAATATGTACTGGTAATTCGTTGCCAAGAATATCTTTTTAATTTTGAATAAAATATTTAATTTAAATATATATTCACCAAAAATTTGTAATTCAGGCAATCCATCCTCATCCAATAATTTAATATTCTTCCCAGTTTTAGCCAACAAAAAACGTGCAGAATGTTCAACCAAAACTGGCTGAATAAATTCAACAAGTTTGATTGGTTCGTCATTAGAAGATTCTGGAATAGCGTCAAATGAACGTTCATCTAGTATACAGGCATCTCGATAAAGTGTAAACTAAATTTTAAATTTTATTTTAAAGAATAAAAGAGCAAGAAAGAATATTGAAATGTTTAAAATGAAAATTGAATTAAAAAATAAATTGAAATAAAATTACATCAGAGAGAAAGGGGAGGGTAATTAAAAAGGTTGAGAAAATAAGGAGAAGAATACACTTAAAAATTTTAAATCCCAATATAAAATCAGAAATCTTTTTACCAAATAATTGTGTGGTTTAGGCAATGCTCTAAACGAACATAGAGCACTTTCCCCATTTGGATGCATATCTAAATTAACTGGAATATTTATTTTTTGTTGTTGTTTGTGTTGTTGTTGAATTAAAGGGAAGGCAAACATTTCTGTTATAAGTTGGTCTTTTTTTGTTCTTTTTGGTAATTTAACTGAAAGAAAAATAATTCTGATTAAAAAATAAAATTAAATTAAAGCACCTTCAAACATAAAATCTTTTCCACAAAAAGGCCCATTCCATTTATTTCCTTTCTGTAAAGGTTCCCCTTCTCCATTGGTTATTTTTGGCATTTTTCTCGAATCAAAACATTTACAAAGAATTGGACATATAGCTAAGGATTTGCCGTTAATTTGGATATCGATGTGATAATTTCCTGGAAATTTTCTTAAATTATTAAGAATATATTTAAAATATATTATTTTTATTTTATTACTAAAAAATTATTATTTTATTTAAAATACTCAAAAATAATTTACAAATTATTTTTTTTCAAAAATTCTCATCAATTTTTAACTAACCAATTTGGGTCGGCGTAAAAGTAATATCAAAACTTCCACCATCTACACGTTGTTTATCCACCGGAATACGTCGTTTGTGCGGTCCTGTAGCAGAAAATCAAAAAAAGAAAATGCATGCATTTATGCACAGCAAAATATTTAGACAAAAAACACCAAAAAGCAAAAAATAAAAAAATATTTTTTTTAATTTTTAAAAATATTTGCAGGCGTTAAGAAAAAATGCGTAGAACAAAACAGAAGGGAAAAGCAACGAAGAAAAATTATTGAAGCATTAAAATAAATATAAAACTTGGAAGTATTAAAAAATAAAAAGCTGGCGGAATTTTTTAAATGAAGGAAAAGTTAACTGAACAGGATTTACTAAAATAATAATTTAACCAAAAATAGGGTTGTTTTTAATTAAATGAGGAACAGACTATATTAAATTTTAATTGAGATTTTTGATTAAAAAGAAGAAAATATTATTAGATATTAAAATAAATGATAGAAAATTTTGTAAAAGAAACTGGAAAAAGGAGTTAAGTTAAATAGGTTAAGAAAAATTTGGGAAATATTTTTTGGGTTAAAAAATGTTAAAATAAAATATTTTTGTTATAAAAATTAATTATTAAAATAAATCTAAATTAAAAAACCCACCAACAACAATAACATTACATTCAACTTTTCTTCCAATTCCTGGCGGGGCATCAATACTAAATCGTTTAGGTTCATCAACAATTGCACTAAAAAATATTTTTTTAATTTTCACTCAATCCATCCACTCAATACCTAGCCAAATCTCCAACAAGTTTAATTTCCTCTTCCTCCTCTCCCTTAGTCTCAACAGATGTTGGCTGTTGTGGAACAACAAGTAATTGTTGTTGTTCCTCTAATTGTTGTTGAATAGGTAATTCAGTACCGGCTCTAACAGGTCGAGGAGAACGTTGGACAGAAGATGGTTGGATTGGACAACAAAGAGGGCTTCCTAAAAAATTCTAAATTTAAAATTAAATCCAAGTAATTACCAGGAACAGATATTCCATTAAATTTCACACTAATTAAATGTTCTAGAGCTTCTTGTGGAGTAAAAGTAACTCTAAATTTAGCTTGCCCTTCTGGTTGTACATAATTTGGAACATTTCTCTTTTCCACGCTCACAATAATTTCCATATTACCAGCCCCAGCCTTAGCTGCATCTATTGTAAAAGCGCAAGAACGCCCAACCTTTTTTGGAAATTTTAACTAAAATTAATTAATTTTTACCTGTCCTCCTTCACTTTCCAAAGCTAATTTAACACAGCTTGCATCAAAAGCTTTTGCTATGAAAGGAGAACCAGGAATTGGTTGATTATTTAATTTAACAAAAATCTAAGAAATTAATTTTTATTTAAATCTTTTTTTTACTTGATGATTTCCAACACTTTTTGGTGTGTAACGAATAATAGAACGACTAGGTTCTTCTTCATAAGCAGCTATATCTACAGGTAAAAGTTCACCTCTTGGGTCCTAAAAAAATTTTGTTAATTTAATTTTCAATTTAAATTTACAATTATTTGAACTTTGGGCAATAAATCTGTTGTGGTTGTTTGTATTCCTTCAATCAAAGACTGCCCATCAACAAAAAATTCTGTTGGTTGTCCAACAGGAATACGTTCTAAACCTGCACCTGATGCTCCTATTTGGCGAGGGGGTGATGATTTTGGGGATGAAAGTTGTTTCTGTGGTAATTGTTGTTGTTGGGGAGGAGAGGAAGGGGTAGAAGAAGTATTAATTAAACGACAAAGAAATGGAGAACCCGGGACATACTTTAATGAAATAATTTAGTGGGAAATTAATAAAGAAAATTTAATTACTTCATTATTAAATCGAACAGATACTCGATGATCTATTGGATCTTTAGGTATAAATGTAATTTCGTATTTGTGTTGTCCTAGAGCATAAGCCATCGAGGGAATTTTCTGAAAAATGAATTTAGAAAAGAAATAATCATAAATTAATTTACCCCTTCATTTACAGCCACTTCTAAATTGCCAACACCTGCTTGACTCGCATCAACAACAAAACTAACAGGTTTGTCAACAGCCCCATCAGGTATATTCCCAACCAAAATTTCTGTAAAATATTTTAAATATTATCTCGATTTTAGGGCAATTCACAATCGGGTAAGCTAATAGTCAGAAAAAAAAACTGGCAATCAAAATTAAATTATACCCGACTACTAATTATAACAATTTACATACTTGTTGGATCATATACACGACAAGTAAAAGGAGAACCATCAATTTCGGTCCCAGCAACCCGAATTTCTACTTCATGATCTCCTAAAATTAAATTTAAAAATATCTAAATAAATTTAAAATACTGCATACCAACACGTTTTGGAATAAATTGTAATTTGCAAGTATTGTTAGAATAATCGGGGAATGTTTCTATATTTAATGGTTCTCTGTCCAAATCTATAATGGAAAAATTCGAATTTTTATAAAAATATACATAATTTTGTAGTTAATTTAAGAATGGATAAAAGGCAGAAAAAGCCCTTTATTTTAAAATTTTATTATGTTAAAATAAAAATAATTTCTAAGGGATCAATCATTAAATATTAAAGAAGGGTTACTAAATCCAAATATAAAAATCACTACTTACCAAAAACTTGTGCCTGTACCAAATCATCAGGTCTTGATAACGTAACCAATAAATCAACTGGTTGTCCAACACGGCTTAAAGAGGGTAATTTGCTAACCATCGGTCTTCCACTAGCTGTTGGGGACATTGCAGCTGTTGGAGGTTCCCCTCTTTGTGTTCCATTTAAAGAATGTTTTTCTTTACTTTTTTTGTCCTTCTTTTTACTTTTTTTCGAACTTGAAAGGAAATTTAGATAAAGTTATTTTAGACAATTAAATTAGTACATTTGAGATTCTTGTCCAAGTATTTGTGGTTCAACAATATGTACTTCAAAAGGACTTCCAGTCACAACTTCTTTATTAAATGTAATATGTACCTAAATATTCTAGTTAAATTCCCCTTAATTTTATTTTCCCAACTGTATGAGTTCCTGGTAAATTAGGAGTAAAAGTAACAAGAAATTTAGCTGCCCCAGCTTCTAATTGGCTAACATGTGAAGGTATTATTATCCCTTCATTATCTTTAATTGCCATTTCCAAATTTCCAAAACCGGCACGTCCAGCATCTACTGTAAATTCTACGGTGTCGTTTAGAACACTTTGACGGACAATATCTCCAACTACAATTTGTGAGGCGTCGTAAACACGAATAGGAAATGGTGATTGAGGGTGTGGAATTGTGTTGACAAATAAATGGACCTTTATTAAAGAAGGAAACGTGAAAATTTTATGTAAAAATAAACTAATTTATGTCATATTTTATGGGTAGAAAATAAACTAGGTATTTTTTAAATAAAATTTTGTCAATCAACTATTTTAAATAAGGTTGCCGGCCTGGTCCGAAAGATCGAGTCGGGCATCGAATTTTGATCTCGGTCGGGCCGGCCCGAAAAAATGACTCGAACATCGGCCCGACTCGAAAACGCAACCCTATTTTAAATTAATAAAAATATAATTTTATTCTGAAATTCCTCATTTAAATAATGTATTTTGTAAATCAGTTAAATGAATAATCTTTGTTGAGTATCATCTTAACCGCTTAATAAAAATGTTTGTGAATAATATTGTACTTAAGGACAATAAAAAATATTTTTTAAATGTTAAAAAACATCATTTGCTAATTAATTAAAAGCCTACTTTGTGTGTCCCAACAACAGAAGGACGAAAACTAATTTCCCAAGATTTAGTCCCAGACTTTTTCAATTTATGAGGTAATGCTTGTTCTGATGTCGGTAATTCATTAGGCATATTTTGACGGGGAATAATTCCTGGCGGTAAAACAATTACGTAAAGTTGGTCTTCCTTTCCAAGTTTGAGTGAATCTATTCGGACATCCACTTCTTTACCTCGGCGAACAACCTTTTAATTAATTAGAAATTTTAATTGAGAAAATAAAAATTATAAGAAAAGTAAGAGAAAATTAACTTTGAATAGGAAAAATTAAAAAGAATTTAAATGAATTCAAATCTCTCGTAATTAAATCTTATCATTAGGGACCAGGGAAAAACATTAATTTAAATCTTCCCTCTACCTCATGTTTACTGGCAATTTTAGACTTTCCCCAGTCAAAAGCATCACTTGCTGTAGCAGCAGAAATGGTTGCTGTAGTCATTGTTGGGGGTGTTATAGACCCAACTTTGTCTTTACTTCCACGGAATTTTAAACTTAATTTTGGTGTGGTTGCCTTTAAAAATATAAATTTAAAAATAATTTAATTAATTAATAACTTTAGAGGATTGTTTTGAACTTAAAGCGGTTTCTGATTCTTCGTGGTCTGTCGGTGTTTCCTTTAAATTAATTTAAATATTTTTTTAAAAATATTTAAAAAAACTTTTAATTCTGCTGCTTTATAAACAGAATGTTCTAATAATCTTCTACGAGTGCCTGGAGTCATTGCTTCTATATCTGAACTGTATGGATCAACAATGTGGGTTCTAAATAAATAAAATGTGAAAGAAATAATATATAAAAATTGAAGAAAAAAGTTTTTTAAATGAATAAACTTTAAGGAATGTATAAATGGAAAGAAATAAAAAAAAGCATATTACACCTCATATATACAGAAATAAATGTAAGGAATAAACTAGTATTGAACTATAAAAATATATAAAAGATTTTAACATTAAAATTTAATAAAACAGAATCATTGCTTCTATGTACATTAGGGCACTAGCGTTAACAGAAATCCCTAAGATTTTTGGGTCTGTTCTTCGGGCTGATTTCAGATTCCTTTTTAGTAAAGTAGGGATAAAGAGTGCCAACATGACTTATGGCAACTTTAAAAATTAAGAATATCTTTACTGTATTTGAGGTGCTCCACTTTCTGTAGATATCGGTGAAATAGCAGAAGAGGAAATTGGAGGGGCAATAATTTCTCGTTCCCTAATAATTCCTTGTTGTTGTTGTTGATTTAATAATTCCAAAGTTTTTTTAATATTTTGATCTAATGGGGCATAAGGTAAATCATTGAATTTTTGTGTTATTTTTATTGGATTTTCTTTTGGTTGGTAATGTTCGGGAGGAATTCGTTCAAAGGAATGTTGAATCTTTAATATTGAAAATTTTTCTCAATGAAAATTGTTATAAATTTAGTTAAAAGAAGGCTTAGGGAATTATGTGTTTAAAAATTATTAATTAATTTACAGGTATTTCCCTTCCAGTCTCAACAGGTGTAGTAACCGGTGTTTTCGGAATATCTCTAAAAAGAGTCATTTCAGCCGAACGAGTCATTTCGAGTTGAGCAGCTTCTGGCATTGATGGTCTAGATATTGGTATTTCTTTTTCTTCAAATAATTTTGGTTTTGGACGTGTAGAGGGCGGAGTAGATAATGGGGATGGCTTCTAAATTAATTTAAATAAATAGCACTAAGTTTAAAAGTATACTAATATACCTACATATTACCTATTTTAATAATTATTAAGAATATTAGTAATATTTTTAATAATGTTAATTAGTAATACTAAAATATTAAAAAAATATTCATTTACAAGTTTTGTAGTAGAAGGTATTCCTCCACCACCTCCATTTCCATATTGAGCTACAGTGTAACCCCCTAACAATGCTGCTTCCTTTATTAAAATTTAATTTTAAAAAATTATTTCAAATCAATATTCTAATAGTTAAATTAAATAAGGGAGATATTTTTTGTTAAAAATTTCTAAATTTACTTAAAACTAGGAATTTGATTTTAAAATTACAAAAAAAATTTTACCACTCCAGCAACAAGTGGGGGAGAACGGGGAAGTTGTGGAGTAGATGATGGAGAGGGTGCTGCTGCTGTATAAGAAGGAGAAGGTGCTGCTTGAGGGGATGCTGATGAAAAATAGGCAGAAGATGAAGGGCCGCGTGTTGGAGGAGGGGAAGCAGCTAAATTTTGAAATTTTAATTTAAAAAATAAAATTAACTCGAAGTAGTTGGCCGTGCATAAACAGGTGCACTAACTGGTTTTCCAACTTGTCTCTCTCGTACATCTACTTTTATTGGACATCCATGTACTTGAAGTCCATTAAAAGTAACATCAATAACATAAGTTCCAGCATGTTGAGGAATAAATGTTACAAGACAACGACCCGCGTCTTTAAAAAAATTAAAAAAATTCCTTTACAAAAGAGAGGGGAGGGAGATTGAAAATAATCATAATTTATTTAACACTTAAAATAATCACCTTGCATTTGAACATTATTTGGAACTTGTCCTTGATTAACAGAAATTTCTAATTGTCCTTTTCCAGCTTCGGAGGCATCAACTGCGGGAATAACATAAAGTTGAGAAATATATCGACGAATATTTGGATTATTATTATTTTCGGTTATTATTTGCTGTTGGTGACCGTTTGACATTTTTTATTTATTTTAAATATTTGAGGAGGTATAGAAATTTATTTATTTATTTAATTTTATAAAAATTATTTAAAAATATTTTTATAAAAGTATAATTATAGATTTTTTTCCTAGACAATTTTAAAAAATTTTATTTAATAAAATGAAAGATAATCTTAAAATATTTTAAAAAGTACAGAGAAAATGAGATAAATTATATTTTTAAAATTATAGTAAAACAAAATAATAAATAATGGATGAAAACAAAAGATCTGAGATTTATTATAGTAAAAAAGATTAAATTATTATTTTTTTAATTGATAAAAATATGCACGTAATTGATAAAATTAATTTCTGTCTCTTCCAGTTACTATTTTTTTAATTATTTTAATATAATTATTTACAGATTACTATATTTACTTTTTTAATTTTAAATTTTCAAATTTATTGATTGACCTAAAAACTAAAAAATAATATTTATTTTTATAAAAATAAATTAAAAAAAATATATTTAAAATAGTTGCGCGGCGCAACCACCCCTCAAAATGTTTGTTTTACGGGGAATAACGAAAAATTTAGGCAAACAAAAAGAGGAAAATGAGGAAAAGAGAAGAAGAACAACAACAAAAAGAGAGAGAGAAAGCAACGGAAAGAGTTGAAAAAAATAAAATTTTTATATAAAAATATATGTGGAAAATAAAACAAAAAAAATTGTAAATTGTTTTGGGAATGAGGACGGGAATAAAAAAAAGTAAAAAATAAAATTATTTATTTAATATTCAGGTCAAAAATGCAAACATACATTGATAGGAACGTGGTTAAAAATTTTAATAAAAATCATTTTAAACAAATCAATTTCTTAATAAAATATATTTAAATTATTAATTTAATAAAGAATTAAAGAAAAAGCTAAAAATTAATACAAAATATTAACAGAAAAAAATGATTTAGTGAGTTTTGCAAGAATTTAAATCAAGTAAGGTATTTAAATCGCCCAAAAAAAGTAGAAAGGCAGAAGGTTTTAATTCTAAATTTTGGAAAATATATTTTAAACAAAAGATAGTTTTTACTTTAATTTTAAACATTTCTTTAAGAAAAAAAATAAAAACAAAAGAAAATATTTAAAAAGAAAACCAAGAATTACTAAAATATATAAATTTTCGTAATTTTGATCAAATAAATTGATAGGTAAAAGAAAAATTTTAGAAAAATAACTGGAATGGTGTGAGAATTGTTGATTTATTTAAATTAAAATATTTAAATAAAACAAAAATTAATTACATAATTCGAAATTAGAAGATAAACGTTTAAATAAATTTTATTTTTAATTTAATATAAAAAATATTCTTTTATTAAAAATAATCTAAAATACACAACAATCTGAAATTTCAAATCAAAAATGTATTTAAAATTATTTAAAAATACTATTATTGTAAATATTATTTGTCATGTAAACCTCTTAGGTAAGTCTCCTTTCCTCCTCCCTCTCTTTTATTATTATTTTTTTGTTGACAACCACAAACTAACTAACTAAAAACTAACTAAACTAGCTTCTCCCCTCTATAAGTTGCGTGCAATGAATGAATATATTTTTATATATTTAATATTTTTTGAGGAGGAAAAGAGAAAAGTGGAAAACTGACAAAAAAACTGGAAGAATAATAAAAGAAGAAGAAAGGGAGAAGAGAAGAAGAATATATTTACGTGAAAATAGGACCGAGAAAATGATTAGAAGGGGATTGTATGTACAATTTAAAATAAAAAAAATTTTGAGGGGAAAAGTGGGACAGAAAAAGGAGAGAATTAAGGGCGAAAATAGTTATACAAAAATTTATTTTTTAAATAATATTTATTTATGCATGTACAAAATGGTTAAATAATGATGATGATGATACTTTTGCAGTCAAATAAATAAATAAATATTTGTCGATCATCACCTCAATATTCAATGAAGCGATTAATTTGTGTTGAAATTAAAATGGGGATATTTGTATGTAAATAATGATTTAATTTCAAAAAATATTTTTAAAAATTAAAAAAATTCATTTCCCAATCCCTGATATTTTTTAAATGAAATTAAATATAGGTACTCTCAAATAAAAGGAAAAACGATTTAAAAAAAGTTGAACAATGTGAAAATAAAAATATTTAAAATAAAATAAATTATTCAAAAAAAAATAAAAAAATTCCAAACTTTTAACTTCTTTTTGTAAAAATTATTTAAATAAAAAGATTTTTTGTTAAGTCTTTAAAGTGATCTCGCGTAAGAGAAGAAAAATAAAATAGTAAAATGGTTAAACGAACAAATTAAAATACAAAAAATAAATAAATTGACATTGAAATAATGAAAAAATATTTTTTTAATTTTATTGAATAAATTGGTTGAAAATGTTGAGAAAGAAGGGTTATACAAAAATATATAGTAGAGATTAAAAATTAAAATTAAAAATAATTTTAAAAATAAAAAATATTAGTCTTTAAATTTTGTAAAAATTATTTTTATTAATTTAATTTTAAAAATTTTTATATATAATTAATTTTATACACACGAATTTTTATTTTTTTTTCGATCAAAATAATTCTGTTTTATTTTTCTAATAATTACTAAAAATTCTTTACCAGAAATAAACGAAATTTTTGTAGAAAATAATTAAATTACTAAATAAAAAGTAAAATTAAAGAGAATTAAGTCTATTAAATAAATAAATATATTTTTTTGTATTTTCAACAAGTTAAAGCAATTAAAAATAAAATAGAGAATATTTTCTTCTTTTTCTTTAATTTACAATTAATTTAATTTAAAAAGAAAATAAAAAAAAATATTTTTATATGTTAACTAATTAAAAGTAAAAAAGTAAATTTGTTTTGACTATAAATATAATGATGATTAAGCTAAAAAAAGAAAAGTACTTTACAACATCTGATTTGTGTAATATGTAGAAAATAAAAATGGGAAAAAAATTAAAAAAAAAAGGGGGGGGGGGAACAATTAAATTGTTAATAAATTAATTTTGAAAATTAAATTTGCAAAAGAAAATAATTAAGAGAAAGACTCTATTATGGGAAATGAAAATTTTGATTGATTAATTAAAAAAATTAAAAATATTCTTTTTTAATTGATTAAAAAAGTTGGATGTTATCCAAATTAATATTTAAAAACTGTATTTTATTGTAAAAATATTTAATTCTAAAATATTCTCAAAAAAGATTGATTTACTAAAAAATGGAAAAATGTAAAAAACAAAATATTAATTGAAAGATTTACATGAAAAATAAAATAAAAATATTTTTTGATAAACTAAAAAATATTTAATTTATGAATAGACAAAAATTATACAAAAATATAAGTAGAAAAATTTGATAAAAAGTAATTTTAATTTACAAAATTAATTTATCATTTTTTAAAATAATTTTTTATAAATAGTTAAAAAATTATTTAAACTGAAATCGGTAGTGTCGGGGATCGGGGTTTGTCGGGGTAAAGCCTTCGGAATTCGGATCGTAGGGGCCGGGGTTCCGAGGGTCGGATTGCTACCCTATTTTAAACTTAATTTTGTTTATTTTTAATTTTAAAATGTAAATATTTTTGTTAATTTTAAAATTTACCAATAAAATGGACAGGTTTGTCAGGAATATAATCTTCTTCACTTCCACGTAATTTAACATGTACTTGACGAGGATCGAAAGCAGAAATAATTAATTGGTCTACATCAACTAAACGGTCATCTATATACACAGAAACTTCGTAATCACCAGCCTTTTTAAATTTAATTTAAATTTTTATTTAAATAAATAATTAAAATATAGAATAATTTTTTAAATTTATTTTTGTTATAGTAAATCTGTTAAAAAAGGAATAAAGAAAAATTATTACTGAATTTTGAACTTAATATGTATTTTCAACAATTTAACCCAAAAAATAACTTTTAAATAATTTTTTGTTGTATTTACACCCTCTCATTTTTAAATTAATCAAAAATTAATTTTTTAAATTTATTCATTTACCTTCATTAAAGTATATTCACACCTAACAGTTCCAGGCCCTCTTTCAGTTAAAAATAAATTTTCAATAGGCCTCCCACTTTCAATATCAACAATTCTGACAGCAACATTTGTTGTCCGTAAACGAATATTAGATCTAACATCAAAATGTGCCAATTCCCCAACAATAGCTCTATCCAAACCAGAACCAATTAATTCTGTTATTCTTTAATTAATTAATTTTTAATTTAAATATTTCTTTCCAAATATTTACATGTCTTCTTTTTCATTTGTTTTTGGAGAAATTAAAGGTTGTTGTTGTATATCTGATCTATTAATTGTTGAAGGAGAACTTTCAATAAAAGGAATAGACCAAGGAGAGTCTCGAACATGTTCTCCATTAAATCTTTTTTTAAATAAAAATTAATTTTAAATTAAATTTCTACCTCATTTCCACAAAATGTCTAATTTCTTGTGTTGGAGTAAATTCTGCAATAAAATGTCTAGATGTTGTTTCATGAACCCGACAAGCAACCCTTCCATTATTAATTACAATTTCTAAATTTCCTGAACCCGCAGCTGTTGCATCAACTTTTTTTTAAAATTTTATTTCAAAAATTAATTTAAAAAATACTTTCAAAAGTGTGGGGCTTATTTAAATTTTTCCCTTCAATTTGTTGAGGCATTCGTCTAACAGAAACAAGTTCAGGATCTCCAACTTGACAGCTAAAAGGACTTTCAGGTATTTGACGGTCAAATAAAAATACATCAATTAAATGCTCTCCTTTATTTTGAAAATAAATTTAAAATATTTTTCATAAATTTAGTACCAGTTTCATTTGGATTCCATTCAACTTTAAATGTTTGTCCATCAAATGGTGATATTCGGGCATGCCTTTTGACACCACTTGGAGCTAAATAAATTAATTAAAATAATTAATTTGTATTTTAAAACTAGTAAATGTTGAAGAAATTTGTGACAATTCAATGCCCGGGGCATGAACAAAGAAAGTAGCAAGTCTGCCAACAGCAGCCATTTGTAATTGATCTCCATAAACAGAAGATATACCCCCATTTCCATCTTCAGTACCAGCAATGTCGAGAATAAATGGAGAACCTTTTTTTAAAAAGAATTTCTATTTTTTGATATTTAAAGAAAGTTTTTTTGTTCGGGGAATAACTGAATACATTGAAGCAAATAAAATTAATTTAAATAATAAATTATTTAAAAATATATTTTAATTACACATTTTCTTTATCATTTTTTGCCAATTTCCAATCAAAATTAATTAATTTAAAAAACATTCCCTTACCTTTAACATCTCTATTATTAAAATCAATTTGTATTTTATATTTGCCAGGGCCTTGAGGTTCAAGTTTGGCTCGATAAACATTTGAATTTGGAGGTTCCTCTTTAATTACTGTATCTATTGGACGTCCATTAATTGAAGAGAATACCTTTATTTTTAAATTAAAAAATAATTTTCAATTTAATTTTTCTTTACTTTAACAGTTCCTTTCCCGGCTCTAGCAGCATCTATTGTAAATTTTAATTCGTGTCCAACTAATCCAACATCCAATCTCAAAAATTTTTTTATTCAAAAAATAATATTTATTTATTAACCCAGAAACATGCACCAAATCGGGATCAAAAACAAAACAAGAAAAGGGGGATCCTTCAATATGTGCCCCTTCATATAATATTCCAATAAGCCATTTTCCTTTAGAAAAAATATTTTTTAAAATTCAAAAAAATTATTTCCTCACCAATCCTTTCAGGTGTAAAAGTTGTTGTAAAAGCATTCCCCCTATGTATTACTTCACAATTTCGTTTAAGTCCTTGGGGGGAAGTTACATATATTTGTATATTTCCACTGTTAATTGCTTCTATTTCTCCCCCAATAATTGATGTTGTTCTTGTATTTACCTTTTAATTTAAATTAAAAAATATTTTTAAAAATATTTTTTCAAAATTACCACAATTTCAACAACAGAATCTACAGCACAAGGTTCATTTAATCCAGAAAAGAAAACATGTCCAATAGGTGAAGGGAGTTGTTGCTGTTGTCCTCCCCCTTTATCTTCTTCTTTTAACATTTTTTTATTTAAATAATAATTACTAATTTAACTAATTAAATAATTAATTTCTTGAAATAAAAAAAATATTTCATTAAAATTAATTAATAATTAATTTATCAATTCTATTATCTCTCATTATTCAAATAAATATAAATGACCCTCACCTACATTTCTATGGAAAATATTCGAAAATTATTTGAGGTAAAATTTAAGAATTTTTGTAAAGAGAAATTAGTATATGTAAATTTTTAACAATATTAAAATAGACAATATTAATAGAATAACAAATTAAAAAGCATGAGGAATCGGTAATTTTTAATTTTCATAATAATTAGAAAAAGGGTCACATTATTTCCCCTAATTTTATTTTTTTTAACATATCCCCCTTTTTCTAAAAAATTTCTATAAGTTAATGGCGCAAAATGGCCATAAATTAAATTAAAATAAAGCCGGGAACGGATATAGGGAACCAGAATTCACTTTGTGAAAGGATAGCCGAACTTTGGTCTTTAGAATAATTGTAACAATTGCTTATTTTTTATTATTAAAGACAGGTAAAAATCATATTTGCGGGTCACGCATCCATGATTTTTTATAACAATTTTGTGCGGGACAGGCTTGCAAATTTCGTAAAATTTATTGATAATTTGTAATTTTAAAAATTTAAAAATATGCAAAAAAATATTTAAATTAAACAATTTAAATATATTTATTGACTTCTCTAAAATATACAAATTATTATGAAAAATAACTGGCGTTTCTTAACATTTATTATAAAATATTCACATAATCGCGTCCTTCAATATATTTTTGGGAGAGATAGAAAAGGCTAGTTTTTATTCTAAAAAATGCGGATGCGCACCACGCGCTGTGCAAACTACTGGCCCATAAAAGAAAAGATTTTTTGGAGAAAAAAAAGGCGTGATAACCACCAAAAAGGAAGAAAAAATGGAAGCAAACCAGAGCGATTTGTATATTTATTAATGTATATCCTTTCCCCCCATCCATCAACTAAATATGGCGCAGAACATTCTAAATAGTCGCAATTTCTGTATTTTTTTGAAAATATAGTTAAAAATTCCAAAAAAAAAATTTTAAATTTGAATTTTTAAATTTTTCTTAGAAATATGTTCAAAAAGAGAATTTTACTTTATAGCCAGATTTAGAAACATTAATTTTAAAAATTCCTTTCTATTTAAGTAATGTATGCGTTAAATTTATGAAAAAATGTCTATTAAATTAAGAAATCTATGAATAAATATGTACATACATAACATGTCTATGTAAATCTACATATTTTGAAATTAATAAATGAAATAATTAAATTATCAAAGTAAACAATGGAGCAAAATTAATAAGAGAATTTTAGAAATTTTTGAGCTTTGGGACAAGGGATAAGAGATGGGAGGATTCTTATATCATAAAATATATTTAATTACTGTAAACACTCAAAAGTAACGAAATTGAAGGAAGAGAAGGAAATTTAGGGCGCGCCGAAATTTGCGGATTTTAATTTGCGGACCCGAAATTTGCGGACCCGAACTTTGCGGACCCGAAATTTGCGGACCCGAACTATGCGGACCCGAATTTTGCGGATCTGAGATTTGCGGACCAAAAATTTGCGGACCGACAATAGAGTCTACTGAACCTCGGAAATTTCAAAAATTTTAGCCTGCGGCGTTAATTAGGATAAATTTAGGCATAAATACCTTATGAAATGGCCATATAAATGATTTCTTCATGGAATTTTCTCGGTTTTTTAAATTATGAAATAATGTTAAGATAAAAAATTGATAAAAATTTTGAAAAATCAAGAAAAAATTATGGTTTAATACAGATCATGGTAAACTCTGCCGGGATCATCGAAAAATAAAATTTTTATTTTTTTCTTCTTACTCAAGTGTCGGTCCTAAAATCTTGGTTCCGCAAAAATCAGGTCCGCAAACTTCGTGTCCGCAACCTTCGGGTCCGCAACTTTCGTTCCGCAAATTTCGGGTCCGCAAAGTTCGGGTCCGCAAAATTCGTGTCCGCAAAGTTCGCGCCACGAAATTTAGTCTTTATCGAGATTAGACGTGCATTTAAGTTATTCAACCTCGCTAAACTACCTTAATAAGAACTTCAATAATTCCACTCACATAGCAAATCACTTTTGTTAATCGCCCCCAGCTCAGTTCGATCCGAGACTGATAAGAATAAAATTTAGCGAATATATGGGTGTTAACCCGTTAATCACTCCAAAATAAACGAGCAAACACGCATAATCAATTTTTATAACTTTAATACAAAAAATTTCCTCTCATCATTCATCATATTTTAGGAGAAAAAAAGTTTTTGATAAAAAAAAGTAGAAAAATCAAAAGCCAAAAGGTGTGGTAAAAATAAATGATTGAGGGAGAGAATTAAATAAATATTTGTTGGCTTTTTTTCAATTATTTATGTGTACGTAATTTTTATTTTAACAATTTTTTTGTAAATTTTTTCTAAAAATTTTGAAATTAATTTAAATATATTTTGATTATTTTAAATTTATTATTCCAATGTAATTGAGGTGGCTTACGTAAAATGGCAACACACAGTTAAGTAAACGAGTGGATCTTTTAATAGGAGGTTTAAATTTAAAAAATTATTTTAAATTTTAATTAATGCTGGTCAAAAAATTTTAATGTTAAAAATTTGTGTAGTATTTTTTGTATAAATTAAAGTAACATTAAGGGTGCCTAATACAGTGGCGGAAATTTACTTAGGGAAAGGGTAAACTCCATGTAATTACGTTCATCTTTATCCGATCTGGCAGATCTAAATTTTAAAAAATAGCTTAATTCCTATCTCAGTTGACATGTTTCAGCGTTTTTCAAAATTCTGATAATTTCGAAAACTTTTCGACCGGTCTAACAGGTACTACATTTTCGACTTTTCGGAGAAATTTTTTTGAAGTCTGTAAAAAATATATGTGATTCTCCTCTAGATTCTGAATACAATGCAAAAAACCGCATCTAAATCGGTCCGGATTCTACAGAGTTATGAATTTTTGAAAATCGAAAAAACACCCATTTTTTGCAAAAAAATCGACAAAAATGGCAAAAATGGGTGTTTTTTCGATTTTCAAAAATTCATAACTCTGTAGAATTTCGACCGATTTGGATGCGGTTTTTAGCATTGTATTCAGAATCTTTAGGAGAATCACATATAAAATTTAGAGACTTCAAAAAAATTTCTCCGAAAAGTCGAAAATGTAGTACCTGTTAGACCGGTCGAAAAGTTTTCGAAATTATCAGAATTTTGAAAAACGCTGAAACATGTCAACTGAGATAGGAATTAAGCTATTTTTTAAAATTTAGATCTGCCAGATCGGATAAAGATGAACGTAATTACATGGAGTTTACCCTTTCCCTAAGTAAATTTCCGCCACTGTATATTTTTAAAATATCTAAACTGTTAAAAAAGCCTTGACCCCCAAACATTTTCATTTTTACTTAAATATTTATGCAATATTTTGCAAGTCTTCGATTATAAATACATATAATTTTTTTCTAATTTTCCTATCAACATCAACAACCCCCCCCCCCACCCCCCCCCCTCTTTTCCAATTTCTGTGTGTTATCTGCGCGGCCTAAGACATTCCAATTAAGGTAAAATCAATCTTAAAAATGTTTGTGCTATTTGTATATATTTATTGCGTTTTTATATTTTAAATGAAAATAATAAAATATTGCGCGTGATAATTAAAGGATAAAAACAAAAATAAAAATTTGTGGACAAAAATATTTTGGAAGAATTTATTTATTTTTCGGATTTATCCAAAAAAATTATTACAAAAATAAAATTTAATTAAAAATATAATATTTTATTTTTTGAAAAATAAAATATTTTTTATTAAAATTGCTGTAACGCTTCAGGGGAAGGAACACAATATTTTATTTTTTTGGTTGTAAAAAGAGAGAAAAGGAAATGACTATTTTTTTATTTTTCAATTGAAGATGAGAAAAATAATTTTCATTTTTGGTTGCCGTTTCCATCAAGTATGTAGTTGTTGTTGATTGGGGGCGCGAAGAAAACAGAAACCACAGAAAAATTATTTTAAAAAAATGGAAAAGAAAATGGAAAGGGAAATGACCAAAAAATATTTAAAAAAATAATTTTAAATTTAAATAATTAAATATTAAATTATAAAAAATAATTGGGTAATTAAATAAATAAATTTTTGTTTCCAAAAAAAAATTTTTTTTTGAATTTAAAATAATATTTTTAGAATTATTAATTTGTTAATTAATAAAAATAATTTTTAAAAGAATTAAAATTAATTTTAATTAAAAAATATTTTGACCATCAAATAAACGAGAGAATATTTGGCGACTAGAAAAAGGTAAATATAAATAAATAAAAACAATTTTTTTCTAAAGAAGAAAACCCAAAAAGAAATTCATTTCTTCCCCGTTTTTCTGTTAAATATAATTTAGTAAAGGAAATAAAACAAATCAGAGCAAAAAGTAATTCCAAGGTCGATCAAAGATTTTGATAAGAAAAAATTCTAAATAAATATTAAAGAGAGAATTAAATAATAAAAATAAATAATTATAAATTATTTTAATTTAAAAATAAAAAAAATTAGCTAGTAAATTAATGGAAGTCCACTAAAAAGTTTTTAAAATTATACATAATTTTTAGTAATTATTTTTTTAAATAATTACCTAAATAAAAAATATTTTATCGAAATAAAAAATTAAATCAAATAAAACGGAAAATAACCCGAGAAAATTAAAATGTTTGTGGTACTTTAAAGAAAAAAAATAAAATTAAAAAAGGAAAAGTAAAGAAATTAAAAATAAAACTAAAATAAAAATTATTAACCTTAAAAAATTTACAAAAAAAATTTTTTTTGTAAATTTTCATTTAAAAATTTAAAATCCAAAAAAAAACAAGTTTTTTAGCTTATTTTTAATTTTTATTTAAAAATAAATGTGGCGACAGGATTAAAGTTAATAAAAAGGTGGACAATAAAGAGAGGAGGAAATAAATAAAATTTAGATTTAAGCGATTAATCTCTCTTTCCTCTCTCTCCTTCTCTTATTTGTTGATGACCCCCAATTTGGAAAGAAAGAAAATATTCACGCAAAAGTCAAAATGCAAAACAGAAAAAAATTTTTAGAAGAAGATTAGAAGGATATATATATTTAAATATGTATGTATATATTTTTGTGTTTTTAATTTTTGCCGAAAATTGTTTAAAAATGAGGGAAAAAAAAAGAAGATAATTTTTAAGAAAAAAATATTTTTAATTTCTTTTAGATAAAATATGTATATGATAGATAATTTTGAATTTTAAAAAGCGGAAGACGGAAGACGGAAAAGCAAAAAAAGACGGAATTCGGCGGAAGACGGAAGAAAATCCATCCCATTTACATAGCAGAGGTCGGTCGGAATTTCGATTTCCGACGTTTGAGCCATTTCCGATTTCCGACAGTTCTGATTTCCGGCACGATAGCCATTTCCGACCGACCCCTGGTACTTCTGGTACATAATACCTGTAAAAAGGAATAATTTAAAAATAAATAAAAATTGTAAAAAAGAAAATTTATATCTTTTTTCATCATTCATATCATCTAAATTTAAAAAAATTCTTTCTTCCTTTCACTTCAACAAATTTTCTATAAACTATTTAAATATATTTTTAATGCAATTTTGGAGCTTTTCCTTTTCCTTTATTTTTTGGATGGATTGAAGATTGCCCTTGTGTTGAATATTCTTGATGTTGTTGATGATGATCTTAATTAATTAAAATTAAATTACTTTTCAAATGATTTAAAAAAGCCTCGAATTATTGGGCGGCTTTGATGCTGAAAATGTGGAATACTTCCAGTAGACCCAATTATTGCTCTTCCCAATTGATTTTGATGAAGAAATTCTTTATTTTTAAAAATTTAAAATTAAAAAAAGTTTTTCTCCACCCTTGTTTAGAAGGTAGAGAATATTATAGGTAATAGAGTTTTCAATATCTCAGAATGTGAAATCTCTAAAATATCTCACCTCTAATGGATAATTTCAGGGAGAGACAACTAAGAGTTTGGGATACATCTTTTATTTTTGATTTAATTAAAAAATATGTATTATTAATCCAGGTATGTATTATTAATCCACTCATTTTTACGAAGTTGCTCACAATTACAGAAAGTTTTTCACAATTTTTTAGAAAATTTTTGTCGAAAAATTAAATCGAGGTTAATTAAATTAAAATTAATTAATCGAAAAGATATTTTAATAATTTTGACAGATTTCGATAATTTTGTTTTGTTTTCATAACTTTTGTTTCGGGTTTTTCTAACTATTTACATATCTACTTATTTCTTTATATGAGGACAAATTTGAAATATATATCTACCTTTTTGAACATTTACTCGATGTTCATCCGTCATAATGTGTCGAAATAATCTACTTTCCCTTTTTTCAGACAACTAAAATATTTAAAAAATAATAATTACAAATTTAGTAATATTAAAAACTATTGAATTGCATAACATGCATTTAGCTTTTTTATTGTCAAATTTGAAATATTTTTTGTTTTCTTCAACTAAGTTCAAGTCTAATTGTTTCTCTTAATTTAATTATTAATAAAATAAAGAAATTAAAACAAAAACACTACGATTTGGATTTAAAGCTCGTCTATGTTTAGCTGATAATAAATGATCACTAATATTACTTTTTAAACGTGGAGTTAACTTAAATAAATGTAAATATTATTAGGTTATATTTAATTATATAGATAATTACTTTAGAACGACAAACATTACAAATAAGTATATTTGTATTTACTTCTATTGTAAAATTGTCAAGTTGGTTAAGATCTCTTAACCATATTTCCAACCATTTTCTATATTCTAAATTTATAATTACATTAATATAACTTTAGTTCCAACCCCTCCATCTAAATTAAACTTAATTTCGTATCATTCGAAGGTCTCGACATGCAAAATAATCATTATTAAATCAACTCCATAAAAAGTTGCTTATCTCGAAATCTTTCAAGGGCTTGGATCGGAAGTGGGGCTTGGATCCAGGGCTTGGATATGAAAATGTCAAGCCAATAAGTTTAATTAGGAAGCAAATAGAGGGGGGGGGTAAATATAAATATGCTACAAAAATATAATTTCAAAATACAATTCATATCACTCATATTTCTCTTTCAAAATTCCGCAGGTGAGAACTTTGAAAATTTTAATATTAAATTTGATTTTTAACCAAAAAGCTCATATGTAAGTACGTATATGTAACTTGGACATCGACACTTAATGTCAATGTCGTTTGGTGGAATAGGCCCCTGGTATAATCACCCTTTTGCTGCTCTGTTTGTCCCAATGCATGATTTTCTGTTACATCTTTTTCCATTACAAATTCATGTCTAACGGGCTGTGGAGGGGATGTTGTGTGATGTTGGCAGTTTGACAGTGAAAATTGATCCAAATCATAGCCAAAAATGTCAAAATTATCCAAAGGCACTTCTGTTGGATATGTAGACAATGATTCAAGTTGATAAGGGCTATTTCCAAAATAATTTTGGTTTTCGAATTCAGCATTTTGTGTTGAAGATTCGTGACCAAAATTAGGTTCAAAAGATGGATATGTTGGAATATTTGTTTGATTTGTCCAATCCCCAATATAATTCATTGAATCAGGCTCTTCATGTTGATAATAAAATGGATGTTCTCTATTTACTTGATTTTCATTCCTTCCTCTTGATGAAATATTACTACCCATTTCACTTCTAATTGGACTTGCTTCTCCGTTATCATTTGTAAAATAAATTAAAATAAAAAACAAAAAAAGAATTTTCATTCTTATAATCCTTTAAACATAAAAATATTTTTTAAAATATTTATGTAGTTTTTAAGTTAATAAGAATTAATCTTTTGTGGAGTATGTATGTACAGATAAAATGTACAGATAAACTTACCGTATTTTCTCGATTAATTCCCCCCTCTCGATTAATTCCCCATGTCAGAGTTGGGTTGAAACAATAATTCCCCACCCCCAAATACCCTAATGCACGTTCAAATGCCAAAACTCAAATAATTCCCCTCCCTCGATCTCGAATAATTCCCCCTCTCGATTAATTCCCCATGTTCCCATGCCGAGTGAAAAAATAATTCCCCAGGGGAATTAATTGAGAAAATACTGTATTTATTATTTGAGTTTTGTTTCGATTAGAATTAGAATCTTTTGGGTTCTAAAGCCAACAGAATTGTTTTGACTTTTTGCTATATTAATCTCCATAATTAATATTTTAAAAAATACAAAATTAAAAAAAAATAATTTTTTATAAATAAAATTAAAAAGAAAAGTCAATTAAGAATTTCATGTGGCATGAATTTTGAAATGAGATGCGCGCGCATTTACTTGCGCAGTGCTGTAAAGGATAGATGTATCTGATCTTATCGATTGGGGTAAGTGGTTTACCAAATGATAAAAGAAATAGGATCGGTAGCGAGTCTTTTTGAGATGCCGAGATGAAAACTTGAATCGAATTCCCAGTTTCCTAGTTTGGATTTGGAAGCTCAATCTTCTTGCTTTTTTAAACCGGGAAACTATGAAGAAAAAAGTCAATGAAATTCAAGATAGATAAAATTCCAAAATAACAGCTTTCCTAAGGTGACATTTTAATAAAATTTATTGGGTTGTCAGGAGGAGGAGCGAATTCGCTTCTGTCTACGGAGCGAATTCGCGTTCTGGGATCGGGACCTACGATTTGCTGGTCTACTCTATTCCTTAGCAGTATATTGCAGTTTACCAAATTGCTTGGTCCGATTCAGTAGAATTAGATGAAGACATCCTAATCCTATTAGTGACATTTGGGAGAACGAACACTCAAAGGGAAACAATATTCGTTTAATACATTTATGTATATAGCAAAAGGATTTGATCAACAACACTATTTTTTAAATATTATTTTTTCAAAGCCAAAACTCGTAAAAATCTTCCAATTTATAGAGTATATCCATAAATTCTCGATAAACAACAAAATTAACATAAAAATTAACTTTTTCCAAAATTATCTTCCCTTCCAAAAATGCCTTTGTGTTGTTATTCTCCTCAGAATATTGTTCTTCTTTTTTAGATATTTTGTTGTTTAAATAATAAAAAATTTAAAAAATGTTGTCAATTTCTTTTTCTCCTTTTCCATTTTAAAAACTCATTTCCAAATCAAGTATATTCATTTTTTAATTATTTCACAATCCTCTTTTTAATCCCAAAAAATTTTTCTTTTCAATTTTGTTTCTTAAATTTATCTGCAACAGTTGTTTTATTGGTAGATTGTTTTGATGTTGAAGATTTTGAAGATAAAGATTTTCCACCAGGAGGACGGTAAATTTCACGTTCAGGACGATCCTTAATAAAAAAATAATATTAAAAGCAATTTAAGAGTATAAATGGAGGAAATAAAAAGAATAATATAATAAAAGAATTTGGTCGATGAAACGTGATTATTAGAATTACTTTTTTTTTGGAAATTTTTAATTGTCACATAGAGGTGGGAACTCATGGGGAACTAAAAAACTAAACTATAGTAATTGAACTAAACTCATGTGAACTCTATGGAGCTCATATCGGAATATTCTAAAGTTACCCGACTGATTCAGGCTACATCTCGAATACATTATATATTAGAAAATCGAAAGCAAAATACAACAAATCTAAATTTCGAAACAACTCCGAAGATCCCGATATAGTATATCTCACCACCACTCCCTTCTTAGATAAATTAAAAATTTACTTTTGCCCTAACACGTGTTGAAGTAGATAATTGTTTCTTTTCTTTCTCTTTATTTTGAACTTGATTTTCTATTTTATCATCAATTTCTTCAGTTTTTGTCTCTTTTTGTTTTGTTTCCAAATTATCTTCTTTTAATTGTTTTGAATAATTTTTAGAAATAATATTTTGATTTTCGACAACATTTTTCTTTTCCACATCTTTTTTGGTCATCTCATCAACTTTTGTTTTCAATTCATTAGTTTTTTCCTTCTTTTCAATATTTTGATTATCAAGTTTATTTTTCCCTAAAAAATATTTTTTAGAATTATTTTTTTAATTTGAATTTAATTTCATAATTTCGCTAGTTTTAATTTGAATGAGATGTAGGTTTAGAAAAAATTAAAAAAAACCTCCAGACTCGCGACGTTCCTTTCCCGTTTTCCTCAACTGTTGTTGACTCCCTCTACCAACTCCAACAATTTCTATATCAGCATTAATAGTTGCTTCATTATTTTTACTTCTCTTCTTTACTTCACCAACAATTTCATTTTTTCCTTTAATTTCTTTTAAATTTTTCTTTTCTGATTTTTGTTTTTTTATATTTTTATCAGAATTTAAATTAATATCAGGTGTTGTTTCGCGTGAATTTGAGAATGAACTGCCAATTAAAAGTTGCTTCTTTTCAATTCGTTCAACCAATTTTTGTTGCTTTTTTCGTCCCTAAACAAAATTATTTTTTATTAAAAATCCAAAACAAAACCTTTTCATTTGAAAGTTTATTAATATATTCAGTTAAAGGCGTTTCTTGTATCATTCCCTCTTCCTGTCGACGTTGCTTCTCTTCTAATTGACGAACAAGTACATCAAAGTCAATAACTTTTTTGGTGCCAGCATTCAAAGTCTGATTGTATTGATCGAGAAATTTGAGATATTGAGCTTCTAAAATGAATGGGATTTTTTCTAAATTTTAAATTAATAAATAAAACAACCATTCTTTAAAGTTCCACAACGAGTATCACATTCTTTTGCAGTTAAAGTTTTATCTTCTAACAAACTTCTAGGAAATGATTGATTTAATGCCCATTCAACAATAGCCATAGATTCATTTCCTAAAAATTCTAATTATTTATTAAGTTAATTTATTAACCTAATTTATCAACAAAAACATAGCCATTAAAACGTTCAGAAAATTGTACAGCCTAAAACATAAAAATAAATCTCTAAAATTTAAATAATTCCCTCACATCTTTTTCCTCATGAAAAACTAAATAAGCACGCGAGAATGCGTGTGGCTTCATTTCCATATCAGCGGGACAAAACCAAAAAGCACAAGGTTCTGATTGAAAAGGTTGAAGTTGAGCAAAAAGCTCGTCTTTTGACATCCCTGGAGGAAGACGACGGAGCACAATCTGAAAATTTTATGTAGCATCAAGATTTTTACCCTCCTCAGAACATTTAAATGAGGAAATGAGAAAAAAATATTTTTTTCATTTAATTTTACCTTAGCCATTTCTTCTTTTTCCTTTCCTCCAATTTTCTTTTTGTTTAAAGTTGTTTCTGCCTCGACTTTGTTTGAAGTAGTTATAGCTGTCCTACCATCATCCAATATAGCCTCATCCTTCGCAGTCATTAGTTGGAAATTGACAGATTCCTTCCTAACAATTCTGAATTTTATTTTAAAATATTTTTAAATTCTTTTTAATTTAAAAATAATTTATTTAATGTTATAATAACATAAAATTAAAGAAAACAAATTTAAATATTTAAAATTTATTCAATCTAAATATCACAATAATTAAATAAGCACAATCTTTAAAAGGCAAATAAATATATTTTCTCTGATTATAAATATTTTACAATTACATACTCGTAAAAGAAATTATCATTTTTAGAGAAAATATCATTTTAAAAGATAAACAATAAAAAAAGGTAGTTTAATTACTAATAAAATTTAAAACTTGAAATACTATGAAGAATTTAAAATTCCTTTCGTTTGAAATTTTTTAATGACTAAAATATTTTAAATAAAATTCAGCTAAAAAATAATATCAGAATATTTAGTTAAAGGTATATAAAAATATTAATGAAATGCACTTGCAATAGTCGACGGAAAAACGTGTTTTCTGGAAATTGTCGGGTTATCAAAAAATTAAACTTTTCTTTGGGTTTCAAGTTTGGTATCCAAAATTTATATAAGCAACGGGACCATTTAGGTTCCGAAATCCAAAAAATAACGGAATCCAAAGTAAACTTGAAACCAGGGTGGCCCCTTCCAAAACACTAAAATAGGGCGCAGCCACGCAAAAATATGGCAAAAATAGGGTGAAATCGGCCAAAAATAGGGCAAAAACTAGGGCATGGCTTTAAAAGCTTAAACATAATTAAAATTTCAAATAAGGCAAAAATTTAGAGGATTTTGGAAGGCCAAGAAGCCAACTTTCTTTCATTTTAGCGCCGCAGGCGAAAATTTTGAGGATTTTGGAGCTCAAGCAGCCAGATTTATTCCATTTTTTGCGCTTCAGGCAAAAATTTTAAGAATTTTGGAAGGCCAGGAACTCAGAAATCCTTCATTTTTACCATTTTTTACAAAATCCCAAAAAACTATAGAAATATTACGAAATGGTAAAAATAGGGCAAAAATATGGCAAATGAGAAAATAGGGAAAAAATAGGGCGAAAAGGTCAAAAATAGGGAAAATCCTCTATAAATAGGGTAAAAGGGCCACCCTGCTTGAAACCCAAAGAAAAGTTGTTTGATCTATAAATCTATAATTTATACAATATTGAAAAAAGAATGAGCATGAATAGTTTGTGAATGTTAAAAATTATTTTAAAAGGCAGAGCGAAAAATCTAGCCTCACTGGTATAAAATAAAAAATGATCAAGGACACATGAATATTTTGTAGAATTTATAAGTAAATTTATTTTGATAATTTTTTAAGTCTAATAAATAAATTAACTTAAGAAGGGCTGTCCAGAAAATCTTACGGGGTTAAAATTTTAAAAGAAAACATTTTTATAAACAAAAACAATTAAAGGACAAAAAGTCAAGACATGAAACAAGCATATATTAGAAAATTCTAATACTGATAATTAGTGGGAAAACATACTTATTTTAATTTGTAAAATATCAACAAAGTTTAGTTGAATTATAACGGAAAAAGACTCCAAAAATAATTTTTAAGCACCTTAGGTATCTGGACAATTTATATACTAGAAAAACTTAATTCCCAATACTTAGAATTTAGAGAAAACAAAAGAGAATTTATTAATTAAATTAAAAGAATCAGCATAAATTATTTACCATTTCTAAATCCAAATAAAGAACAATGGAATTAAAAACTCCAATACATAAAAAACACACAATGCTGGATAATTATAATTTAGAGGGAAAATTAAAAGAGAAATTCTATAATTATAAAGGGTCATATGTTAGGAAAAATCATCTTTTCTAAGAGGATGACAAATATTGTTTATATATTATAAAATTCACCTAAGCATTGAAGCAATAAGTATCACTATTTTGAATAATTTGGTCTAGATTGCAGTGGAGGTGCTTGCATCATTACCAGAAGAGAGAATATTACTGACAGATTTCGAACGACCAACAAGAGTAGAAGCAGAAACTGAAGAAGTCAATGGAAGAACATCACGAGCATCTTGGAAGACGTCATTATCATCTTTGGTACGGCCAGACTCGATTGCCGGAGTTGGACTACGAGAGACAAGCCTTTTGAGCTGACGAACCTAAAAAATATAAAAATAAAAAGTCAATCAAGTATTTTATTGAAACTTATTCAAAAATTAAAGAAATATTACATCAAGACTAAGCTGCCCATCACGATGGAATTTATCAACAAAACCACGAATGAAGTCGTCAGAACGACTCTTCCAATTGTTAATAAATTCAACACTTTTCTGCTTCCACTGGTCAATCTGGTTTTGAAGTTGATATTTTTGAGCCTAATTAAAAAATAATTTTTATAATTACTATAAAAAACAAACCGAAAAGAATCCAACATTCAATTCCTCCCTAGTATAGCCACGTTGAAGATTCCGACGAATATATTTGTCATAATCTCTTATAATTCGAGAGATTACATCACTAGTCGAAACACCTTCTGTCCGGTCTGTCTCCTAAAATCATAAAAATTTAACACATAAAATATGTAAACAAACCACAAACATTCCAGCGCGACGAAATTTTTCATAGAGATCCTCTTCGTTTGGAGCGACATAAGGAACAGAATCATGAGCAATAAAGTCAACCTATAAAAATATTTTTATAAAAAATAATTGACAAACCTTAATACTCTTCAAAAAATCCACAGTCACATACCAAGGCGAATTTCGATAAACTTCATCAACATAACGACAATGTCGAACACTCTCATAACGCTCCTGAAATATTAAAGAATTATAAAATCAGCTAACAAAGTTATACATTTTCTGATGTTACAGTACGACCTTTGTAATGATGTGTAGCTTCATCACCATTAACTAAAATTAAAAAAAGACAAATTTAGCTTTGCAATCAATATAATTAGAGGCACTACACCGGCCTGAAGCCCCCCCCCCTCCGAAAATTTTTTCTGGCTACGGGCTTGGCCAACCACGCATATAATAATAATTTTAAAAACCTCCAACAATCAAATAAACATTCGGGAATGCATTCTTAGCTTGTCGCAATTGATTGGCGTGGCCATAATGAAAAAGATCTAAATATTTAGAAAAGATAAATTAGAAGCATAATTCTCTTCTAACCGTAAATGCCATCAGCAAAGACTCGAATTGGACGACCAGCTTAAGGGAAATTTTTAATACCTTTTAAAAATATCTAAAAAATAAAATACCGGTATTATTTTTAGCCATTTCGTAAGTAACTTGAGTGGAGTAATCAAGTGCCTCTCTCGTAGCAATAGCTTCGGGCTCATCACTGAAAGGCGCAGGGCCATTAAGAGCCAAACCAGACTGAACCTTTGGTGGAATGACTAAAGGCTTTTCAGGAGAGAATTTTCGATCTTGATTAATCAACGAAGCACCAACAACCGGATTCATATGTTTCATTTTCTTTATCCTTTGAAAAGGGAGAGTTTAATTAATTGTTTTAAAAATAAAAATAACCGTGGTGAAACCTGCATATTTTCAATACCAATCTGTTCTGGTGCAGCACTAACAGTATTACCAAAGGATCTTTTATGGCCACTCCAAGTCCCAGGATCATCATCAACATCCAAATCATCTTGCAAATCCAAACCATCTGGCAAAGTTTTGCCTTCCATTTTTTGGAATGTTTCAGCATCTTGATGACGCTTACGACCGCGTGATGATGGTTGTTGTTTACGCTGAGACATTTTTATATTTTGATGCTTATTTTTGAAGTGAAGAGCAAATTTGAGCAAAAAGGAAAAGGAATGTTTTCAGAGAAGCTAGAAATGGTTAAATAAAAATGACAATTTAAAATTTTTGGCAAGGAAACGAATTATTTAAGAAAAAAATATTTTAATTGATAATTTAATTTTTAAATAATGGAAATATAAGGTGATCAAATACAAGACTAGTGTCAGTCAAAAATTTAAAAAAATATAACAAATGAGTGAAATACATAAAATGATTACGCTAACGTCATATTAAAAATTACGAGAAAAATTCAGAAATCAAAAATTTCTTTTTAAACAATTATTTTTTAGAAATTTAAAATTTTTGGCAAGAAAAAAATTATGCATATGGAAAATAAAAATTAATAATATTAAATTTAAATGAGAAGGAATGATTAGAAAACCAGAATCTTATCATTAACTTGTTGATTTAAAAATACATAAAAAACAAAAATGTGAACGATTTAAATTCGATATTTAAACTAAAATGAGTATTTTGTCTGAAAAATTAATCTCCAAGTACGCGTGTACTAGGTAAAAATAAAGAGAAAAAATTATCAGTTTATCAATTTCTCTAGTCAATTTAAAGGTTACCTACTTTGATTTGGTTAAGTGAAAATAATAATAAGGGGTAATTAGAAAAGTAGAAATACACAAAGTATTCACAAGCATAAAGGAAACTTGACTTACAAGATTCTCAAAATGCGCGAAAAATCTAGATATTGGCGTAGAAATCAACGAAAATTGGGAGGAGCGCGTTGCGGATTCGCCCACTGAACAAAATCTCGATTCGTCCCTCGCGGATTCATCCCACTCGAGAAAACTGCATATTCGCCCCAATTAAAAATTTCCAACAGAGTAAAAATACTCAATTCATCGCACTATAAATTTGAAATGGGAGTTATGGTCGTTTTGTCGCCGGCCGTTTTGGCGCGACAACTCGAAACTGCCACTAGACGAGATCTAAATTCATGAAAATTTTACATTTTATAAAAAATTTAAAGAAACCATTGTCTAGTTTCACTTATTAAAATTGTGGCCCTAGAGTGCTTTGGTTTAGCTATTTCTACAAGAGCACTTGGAACTATTTTAATTTTAAAAACATTTATTTTCTTATATTCTTTAAAAAAATTAGAAAACATTTTAAATAAAAATTAATCAGATGTTGTTCCTTCTCTGTTGGATTCAACTAAATATAAATTTATGCATTCTTTACTTGGTTTTTCTGTCATAACCCAAGCTTCATTTTCTTTCATAGGACGTCGACAAAGAGGGCAACACTTTTGATTAATCCTCAAAAAGCTATTGATACAAGAAGAGCAATAGGCATGGGCACACGGTAAAACCGCATCTGGACGAGCATCAAAACAAATAATACATTGCCCATCTTCCACATAACAACTAGAAATTGAAATTGTAATCGAAAAGGGTAGAAAAAATAAAAAGAACCTTTCATCCAAAATAGCAATTTTCATAAAATCTTTCGAAGGATCTGAAGTACTTGTAGCCGATGCTTCTGAGGCGTCCAGAATTTGGATTGTAGTTTGATAAAATTTGAGGAATTGGTAAAGATTGTAGGTCCTTCTATAAGGTTTTTCATCAAGAACCTGTAAAAGAACGGAATTGGTATGCTTATAAGAATGAGATGAAACCGTAAAACAATGAACTCGAACTCCTAATTGCCAAATAAATTTATCGTCAGGATTATATTTAATAGCAAAAAGCATATTCATTTGGTTCTGACTGAAGCATTTAATACACCTATAAAAATTGATAAACGTCGGAATTTACAGGGACTCTTAGGAAAAATTGTGGGGAAGCGCTTTTTCGATATTTTTAAGTAACAAATATAAAGAAACCTCTCGTTTAATTCTTGAACAAGTGATTCCAATTCCTCTTTATTAATTAAAATACATCCAAAGAATGGATTATTTAATGATCGTTTGTGTGACATCTACAAAATAATTTCAATCAATTTATAACTTTTCCTGAAAGTTTTCAAATTAAAAATTTTTTAAATCACACTCCTTATGGGGCAGTCTCTCATAGTGTGAGGTAAAATAGCATTCTCATGATCCCGTAACGGGATTTTCCTCAAAAAATTTTTCGGGTCGGAATCCCGCGGGATTAATCTCGTAAATCCAGACAATCCCGCTCGTCGCTTAAGCACTGGATTTCGGGACGGGATCCCGTAAAATTCAGTACCGGATCCTGTCCCGTGCCGCCCCCCTCTTTAATGACTTTCTATATTTTGCCAATTCCATATTATGTCAAAGTCACATTTTGCCAACACGGCTGACATTATGTAGTAGAATGAATGTGTTTTCTCAATAATGATTTATATTTTAATTTTTAGTATTTTATAAATGAATTCTCTTGAAGAAGAACGCGAAGAATTTATTATGCCAAAATTAACTCCAATAAAACGTGGACAAAAGCAAATAAATGTCCTTGATTCTCCAAGCAAAGTTCAGGCAAGAAGTCGTCTTGGATCTTTACTTGGACAGATTAGAAAAGGAGAAAGTAGCCAAACAAATTCTAATGAATTACAAAATTCTAGAGATCAACTGTAAATTCTTTTCTAAAATTTTTGGTAATAGTGTCGTTTCCAGGCCCCATTTTTTCTCCCCAATTTTTTACCCTATGTTTGTACGGAATGGTCAAATTTTCCCTTTTCTTTCATCAAATTTGCCTTTCCATATTTTGCCTTTCCATATTTGCCTCTTTCATATTTCGTCTCACAACAACAGTCTTTCATTTTTATTAATTGGGAAAATGATTCTTCTCATTACTCTAATACATTTTTAAATAATACAAATTAATCTTTTTGATTGTTTTTAGGCAAAATATGGAAAGGCAAATTTGATGAAAGAAAGGGGAAAATTTGACCATTCCGTACAAACATAGGGTAAAAAATTGGGGAGAAGAAATGGGGCCTGGAAACGACACTATTACCAAATTTTTTTTAAACAAATCTTTTTAGCGATATCTATGAAGAATATGATTCGAAAACAGGCGGAAGCATTCGTAGTAGAAAGATGAGAAGAGAAAAACGTAAAATTTAATCATTTAAATTAAAAAATTAGGTACTTTTCCGTTATCCCTACGGATCTTTTTTGTGGAGAGAAGAGATGGGTGATTTCCTTCCTCAATTTCACTCTATTTCCCTGTTGTATATTCAAATGAGGGGACACTAAACATAAACTAACATTTGGTTCAATGTTACGGGAATAAGTTGATTGCATTTTTTCTCCGCAAAATTAGAAGAAAAATTGCTCGCAAAAATTCCTTAAGGATAACGGAAAAGTACCAAAAAATTATATTTAAGGTGTTGTTTTTGAACTTCGTGGAAAACCTTTCGGTTTGCGTGACACTGGTCGAAGTGAAAGTATTTATGCTCTCTGTAGAAAATGGATGTATGGAAAGGATGACGAGCCTTTAGATCAAGAGAGTGGATATTTAGAAGAACAAGAATACGAGCCACATTTTAACAAATCTTTGGTAATTTTTGGAAAAAAATATTTAAAAATTTTATTTAAGGATTTAATGGCAACTAGAGAAATAAATGCTTTGCCTCCACCTCTACATGAAGTACCTTTAATGGATCCGCGTCCACAAAAAGTTATGCGATTTGAACCGCCAGCGAATGAGGAAATTACTAGCAAAGAGAAAACACTTGAAGAATATAGGAGACATTGGAAACGTGTAAAAAAGAAGTTTGTTGTTTTCTTTTTTTTATTTCTTAAAAAAATATTTTCAGTTGGCTTGATTATAATCAGAAAAGACAACTTCGATACAAAAACAGTCTGGTAAGATATTTAAAAATATTTTCAACTGTATTCAAATATTTTTAAATTATTTTTAGCAATTACTTCGAACAGTTTATGGAATTGCACAACAAACACAGGTTCCATAAAAGAATGGAATTAGAAGAATATGTAATACATAATTATTTTTATTTTGTCGTATTTACAATTTTTTAAATTGGTTATTTGCGATTTAATATATTGCGAAAATTGGTAATCTTCTAGTTTACTGGTCCCGAGAAAAAAAATTAGGAAGCAGTGCTGTTTCGATATTTTTGAGGGTTACCAGTAGGTAATCGAGTGTGCTGAGTCCGAATCTGAGCATAGAAATGGCTTATTTTAAATCCCGGACCCAGATTCAACAAGTCGAATTAGGGGTAAACACTTCGAAATTGAAAATTTAGGGATAATCTTACACGACTATTCGAGTAGAGTAGAATGGTATCAAAATTATTCAGTTTCGACAACTTTAGGCAGAGTTATGGTGTCTGATTTGTATACAGAAGTCTCACCAAACGTGTATTTAATTGACCATAACTTCGTCCGATTTGTCGAAACTGGATAATTTTGATACCGTTCAACTCAGCTCGAATAAAGGGCTAATAATAGCCCTAAATTTTTAATTTCGAAGTGTTTACCCGAATTCGACTTTGTCGAACCTAGGTCCGGGATTTAAAATAAGCCATTTCTAAGCTAAGATTCGGACTCAGCACACTCGATTACCTACTGGTAACCCTCAAAAATATCGAAACAGCACTGCTTCCTAGTTTTTTTCTCGGGACCAGTAAACTAGAAGATTACCCGAAAATTTAATATTTATTTGCGATTTGTTAAAAAAATTTAATGAGAACATGGAAATGGAAATAAATTTTCGAAAGCAATTTTGATTTTTTAAATAAATTTCAATGGCATTTTTGTTTTGATGATAAAAAGGCCTAAAGCTTAAATTTTTCAACTAACAATAAGTCAAAACCTCTCCCTACTCTTTCCTCACAACCCGGGTTCTGAAAAAATAATTTTTAAAGAAAAAAACGGGGTCGGTTTAGTATATGCCCACCGAGATCGAAAATCGTTATATATACCATTCGATTCCTCTCACCGAGCTGAGTTCAAATATGCAGGAATTTTCTGCCGGAGACGAAAACTCGCAGAGATACAGGCCCCCGAAAATCGAAAAACCATAGGGGGGACCAAGCACTATTTTGGGGTGAAAAATTCGAATATGCAAATTATAACTCATTCGAAAGAGCTCGTCGAGCTGAGTCGAATGACACCAAAATCAACAAAATCCGACTTGATTGGACCGAGATATAGACCTCTAAAAATCGAAGATCCAAAGGGGCGATTTTTGGAATAAAAAATTTTTTATACAAATAATACCTCATTTGAAAGAGCTCGACGAGCTGAGTCAAATGACACCAAAATCACCGTGATTGAACAAGATTAGACACAGTTATGATACAAAAAACAAAAAAACCTAAACCTATGGGTCGTCGGCGAGGCGCTTGTGCAAAACCCCGCGCTTCGCGCGGGGTTTTGCGGCACGCGCCTCGCGGGGAGTCTACGGGCGCTGGGTCTGGGCTCGTAACATAAACCTATTCCTATCTCCCTTGCTCTGGACGTATTTGGGGCCTCCGTAGCAGCAAAAATCTCCACAGATGCCATAGGTAAGGAGCTAAAATAAAAGATCACAACTTTGTCCAATCAAGTCGGAATTTGTTGATTTTGGTGTCATTCGACTCAGCTCGTCGAGCTCTTTCAAATGAGTATTATTTGTATAAAAAATTTTTTATTCCAAAAATCGCCCCTTTGGATCTTCGATTTTTAGAGGTCTATATCTCGGTCCAATCAAGTCGGATTTTGTTGATTTTGGTGTCATTCGACTCAGCTCGACGAGCTCTTTCGAATGAGCTGTCATTTGCATATTCGAATTTTTCACCCCAAAAAAGTGCTTGGTCCCCCCTATGGTTTTTCGATTTTCGGGGGCCTGTATCTCTGCGAGTTTTCGTCTCCGGCAGAAAATTCTTGCATATTTGAACTCAGCTCGGCGAGACGAATCGAATGGTATATAACTTGAGTTTCGATCTCGGTGGGCATATACTAAACTACAGCCAAAAAAACGAAAGAACTTAAGTTTCATGAACCATCCTTATAAAAACAATTTTATAAAACCAAAAAATATTTATACTCATAATCAATAAATTCCAAAAATGTTTAAAACAATCATATGCCGTCAAAAGCGCCCAACTAAACGGTGTGGTATTTTAAATAAAATTTAAAAAGAAAACCAAATATTTTAAATGGAGTATAGAGAATTGATAAAGTTTAAAAAATAAAGTCTTGAAGGATATTTAGAGGAGAGAAAATAATATTTTTTAAATAAACTGGAGGAAGATTTTTTATCCCAAAAGCGCAAACTTTTTTGTCGGCAATTTAAATAAAACAAAAAATTTAACTCTTAAAATCATCATCAGAACTCTTCAGGTCATCATCGTCTTCTTCAAAAGAAGAAATTGTCGACTTGTCTTCTGCCCCATTATTATCCTTAACTTGGGCAGTCTTCTTCTTGTCAATTACAGGCCCAACACCATATTTAATTAAATGACGAATCTAATTAAATTTTTTAGAATTAAAAAAATTTTTAAGAGAAAAACCTGCATACAAAGAACACCCAAAACATTCTTCCCTTTCCCAACCAAAGGAATGTATTTAACTTTGTCTTCGTCGAGGTCACTTGGAAACTAAATTAAATTTTATTTTTAATTTAATTTAAAAGAAACTTTCAAGATTTTCCCTTCATTTTCACGTGCCCATTCACGAAGCTTTTCCTCAGTCATTCCAACAGCATAAAAAGCATCGCGGTCATAAGCTTGGCAAAGAAGAGCATCTCCAGTAGCTAAAAGCTTATCACGCATTTCTTGGTTTTGAGTAAACTTGAAACGAATTCCATGGAGAAGAACTAACAATCCTGTAGTATTCTTCCAATGCTCAACCTTTAAAAATATTTGAAAAAATAAAATAAAATTTTTTTAAACCTTTTGGTTGTTTACACGGTAATTTCGAAGAATGTCTTTAGCCTTCTGTTTAACCTTTAAAGTATCCAAAACATTACGCAACAATTGAGCCTGATCCGGGCCAACCAACGAAAAAATTTTGCAAGCCTGATAATAATGTTCAACTGATGGATAGTCATGCCCGTCGACGTTAATTTTGACCTAAAAAATTGTTAAATATTTAAATTTAATAAGAAAATAAATAAACCGGATAAAGAGTGCTCAAAAAATGTCCTTTTCCATGAAAGCAAACCAAATTATTAGATTTCAAAATATATTCAAAAGCAGGAAGTTCTGCTGGTGTTTCAACAATAGCCAATTGACTTAATTGCTTTTCAAGTGCAGAAGCACCACCATCACCTCGCTGCTTCTTAGTGTTGCCATTTCGATGAGTAATCTCATTGCTGACAAAGCTTGTATAGTTTTTGCCACTCGGACGATCAGCAGAAAAATCCTCTTTGCGTTGACGGTATTGCTAAAAAATTCAATATATTTTTGGAAAATTTGTATGGAAATTTAGCCCCCGAGATAATCTTAAAGAAGAAGGAAAACATCAAAAAGAGATCTGAGAAAAATTTTTAAAAACTCAAAAATTAACCGCAAATTGGTTGGTCAAAGGACGCAAATCCATCATTCTTGGCGCAGGATTCTGTGTCCCGCTGATCAACAAATGAGAATAAGGTGTCTCTGGTCCCATTCCATTTAAAGGAAGTAAATGATCTTCTTTTTGAGTTTTCTCACGTCGTTTCTCAGCAGCCTGTTTTTTCTCATCAAGCTGACAATTAGTTGAGCTCATTTTATTTTACTTGTAAGAAACCTTTTTTAAAGTAACTGGTGTAGCCATGAAAATAATCAATAAAAGAGAAAAGTGATAAAATGCGTCAATAAATTATAAATAAAGTCTGAAAAAGGAAATTTTTAAAAATTTTTTAAAAATTTAATAAATTACATTAATAAATTAAATTAATAAATTTAATAAATTAAAATACAATTTTCTTAAAAATTTGAGGCCTAAACTCGTGAATCGTCACAAAAAAACGAAAAAGAAATTAATCAAGAAAAAATTCTGAACGGTCGTTTTGTCGCGCAACAGGTTATTGCAAGACAATCTGATTAATCGTCGTGGTTTGTCGCCCACCGTTGTGGCCGAACGTTTTGCAAATGAGCTTTGCTTCGTTAAATTAAATCTTCGCGAGCTAATTTTTTTCATTATTGCTTTACTAATCTGGGCAAAAAAAAACTTTGTAAACCTTACACAAAATTGAGAACATAAAAATACAAACTCTTACTAATTTCAAAAATATGATCAACCATTCTCTCAATTGTAATTTTTAAGAAGACAAAATATGAGAGAATACGGTAATGAATTCTTCCCATGAACAAAAAACAAATAAAATAAAGCTTTATCTGTTTACAAGATCTTTAATAAAAGTAATTTTAAATTTATAAAAATTTTAAAAGCAAGACTAGAAAATTATAGAGTTATGAGATAATTTTTAGTTAAGAATATTTTTGAGCATAAAGGATTAGTGTAATTATTGAGGTTATTTGTTAAAATTATGTACTATTAATTTCTTTATTTTTGATAAAATATCTCAATTTTTGGCAAATTCAAGTTTTCATAAAAATCTTCAAATTTCTTGTTTGAATATTCCAAAGGAAGTCTTGAAATTAGACAATTGTTTATAATAAATTTTTCTCCAATTTGATTACTCCATTCACCCCACAAAGCACGATCAATATTGTTTAAAGGAAATTGAATGTAGAACATTCTCTTTTCTGTAGCTAACATAAAATGCTGTAAAAAATTGAATTTAAAATTTAAAATGAAATTAATTTTGGTGTCAGAGACCCTAAAGTTGATTATTATACTCGAGATAAGGGTTAAAAAACGATAGACTGCGAATTGCAGTTTGAATGGTGTCAGTTTTATAAAAGGAAAAAATCTCTAGATATCTGTAACCGATACCCGAATAATTTTACATTCATTATTATTAGGGAATATTCAGGTATTCGGAACCGATATTCGATCGAAAATTTTCGGATATCCAGACTTTTTTCGGTTCGGATACACGGAACCGCATATCTTCGCAACGAGGTATAGATTTGCTTAACCAAAATTTTCTTTTTCAATACAAATTACCGGTAGTGAAGTACCCCCTACCTCATTAATTAATAATTATTAGTACCTCTTTTAATTTTTGAATTAAAGAAGAAATATCCAAAATAATTTTACATTCATTATTTCCAGTAAATAATTTAAGTCTTCTAGGTTTATTTTCATTACTTGGATGGTGTAACCATTTCAAAAAAGAAGAACCATTAAAATATAAAAATTCTAATTGAAATTCCATATCTCTCAATTCTTTTAAAAATATTCCATTAAAAATAGCCCACAAAGGAAACATGAAAGGAAAAATTTCTCCCATAATTCCAAATTTTTTGTCAAATTTATTTTCCAATTTTTGTTCAAAAGAAAAACAAAAATTATTAAAAAGTTTGAAAAATATAAAAAGTTGTCCAATTTCGTGTAAATTTTTCCAAATTGAAGTTTGGGCAAATAAAAGATGACAATTATTTAAATAATTTTTGAATAAGTATAAAAATTCAATACAGTCAATATTTGGGTCTGAAAAAAAATAATTTTAAAGAGAATTAATATTTTTTGAGAAAAGTTTTAGAAAAATAATAGAGGGAGAGAAGAGTGAAAATTAAATAAAAATTTATATTAAAGGTGAAATCAATTTACATTAATTTATTTAAATTTTCGAATTCCCCATGGAGTTAATCCTAATTAATATTCAAAATAAAAAATTCCAATTTTTTCTTAACTTAAACTCAATTCAAAGGCAAGAACTTCCCCTAATCTCTATAACAAAAAAGGTCTCCCTCCCCAGCTTCTCATTAATTAATATTAATTAAATTTTAAAAAATGTATCAAATATTACTTATAAATTGTACAGTTTCAATTCCATTAATCCAAACTGGAAGAGATTCCAAAGGCAAAGTTAAATTTCCAAGACGTTTCCGCGGATAATTTAATTGATAAATTCCATAAAAATTATTTCTCCATTCTTTACTTATTTTTATAGGGCACAGAGTAAAACTTCTTTTATTTAATAAATAATCACAAAATTTAGCCATTTGGGATGAAATTAATGAGAATTTGACAATTTGAGAGGTTGATAAAAAAGAAAACACATCCAATAAACAATCCATATTTAAAATATTACTGAAAGAAATTAAGTCTTTGAATTTCATTATTTCTCGGTTATATAATATTTGTTTTTGGTATAAGCAAATCCCCCCTATTTTTTTCTTATTTTTCTATTTAATTTCATGTAAAAATCCCTACTACAAAGAACCAAAAGTTTATTATTCTTTTTGAATTGCTCAATAAATATTCAAATATTTACCTCTATTTAAAGTTTTAAGATAAATAATTATTAGAAGTTAATTATTTAAAACAACATACCTTTTAATATCATTTTCAATATTAATTAAACTTAATATTTTCATATCTTTAGCCAAAGAACATTTCTTTTGACTCTATAAAATTTTATAAAAAATTAAATATTTTTTAAAATTCACTAAAAACCTCTTCATATTTTTCTTCTTTTAATTCAAAATATTTTTCAAAATTATTATTCTCCAAAATTGTTTCACAAAAAATATTCCAAATAAAATGAGTAATTGTTCCCCCAGTAACAGATGTTTCAAATACACGTTCAGAATATAAAAGAACATCGCGAACAACTTCCTAAAGAAAATTAGTTAAAAAAATTTTTTAAAAATCACTAACCGCTTTCTTCAATATTTCGAACCACAAATCATTCAAAGCAATTAAAAAATTATTTGTTTTGAAATCTTCCAGCTTTCGAGCCTAAAAAATTTTAGAGGTTAATGAGATTTTTAAAAATTTTATTAATTTCTGTCAATAAAAATTTACAAATCGTTTAATTAACCTTTTTATATTTACGTGCACTAACATCCCCAACCAACCAAATTATGAGTAATTAGAAAATAAAATGACTAATTTTAGTTATTTGGATGGAAAATAGAAATAAAAAATTACAAAAAATTTACTCATTTTACAAAAAAACATTTAAAAATAATTTTAAAGACAAACCAAATTATCCATATATTCAATAAGTAATGATCGAATACTTGAATATAAATAATCAGAATGTCCATTATGAACCTAAATTAATTAATTAAAAAAATTTTTAATTCTATAAGAAAAACAAACCATTTTATAAGCCTTTTCATACATTAAATTTAAATCAAAATCAACGTCTTCAAATAAATAAGATTTTAAATGTTCAATCAAATAATTCAAATCATCATTATTGAGTTTATTATATAAATCACGATAAGGCACTCGACTGCCCGAAGCCATCTTTTGTAAACAAAATGTCACAAAAAATTAGTACTTCGAAAATTTGCAGATGCTTTTTTAAGTCAAGAACTGACTTAATTTAATTTTGCGGACTAAAAATTTGCGGGTTCAAATATGCGGATCAAAATTTGCGGACCGACACTTGAGTAAAAAATAGGAAAAATTAAAATTATTTTTTTTATTTTTCGGGACGGGATCCCGCGGGATTAATCCCGTAAATCCCGTTCGTCGCTTAAAATACGGGATTTCGGGACGGGATCCAGTAAAATCCCGTACGGGATCCTGTCCCGTGCCGCACACTATTCAGGACAGATTTGGAACTAGTAAATCCTAGTTTTCTAATTTTAGATTTTCATTTTTATTTATTTAAAATTTAAATAATGCATTCATCGCCTCGATTTTCTAAAAACAATTGTCAACATAATGAGCGTAATTCTATGCTCTCAACTTCTAGTGGGGGTAGCTCTACTTTAATGGATCATGTGTCTCAAAAGCATTTACGGCAAAAAGGATATATTTCTGTAAATCAGGCAAATCGACAACAAAATTTCAGAAAGTAGTGAAAATATTTTTTTACACATTTTTATTTTTTATTTTAGATTTACATCTTCTGTAAGTAAACCAGGTCAAGCACGAGAAACGCGTGAGGCAATTTCAAGAGTTTTAAATGCTGCGAATGCAAATCCTTTTGTTTGTTTTTGTTTTTTCTTTGATTTTTTTTTATTTTTAGAGACCTCCTCCAATATCCGAACCTATTGATTACGAAAAATTTATTACAGAAAAGAGTGCTCAACTTGAAAATGACAGAGATAGGGATATGCTTTTATTTTTTCGGGATGATGTTTCTGTGGGTTTTTTAAAATTTAATTCCTTAAAAGTGATTTCAAACTATTTATTTAAAAAAATTTCAGGGCTCAGAAATTTATCCTCGCGAGAGAACGGCCGTTCCTTCAATTAAAACTCGACTTATTGAAGAAGCCAATTGGTTATTGGCAAAAGATGCCCTCAAATTCTATTGTTCTCCTTACATTGTTATAAATTTTAATTATTTAAAATTTGCTGGAGATTTCAAAAAATTTATTGCTCCAACTTTAAATAGCTATTTACGTTTTGAATCTGATATTATTTTAGACGAGGAAAAATTGGTTTGTTCAAATAAAATTTAAAAAATATTTTCTGTCAATTTTTAGCAATTTGCAGAACAGAATATGTCAAATGAAGTACTCAAAGAAGGAAATTTAGTTGTTTTGCCTGGGGACAGTATTGTTGACAGTTTTAAGGTAATATTTAAATTTTTATAAAAAATTTTACATTTTAAGAGTGAAAAGAAACGTTATTGCATTCTTCGCCGTTTGGATGACTGTAAAGTTTTTATTGAAGTTTACAAACAAAATACTACACAACAATTATTTCCTGCATTGGAAATTAAATCCGCGCAAATAAAGGGAACAAAAAGAGGAAAAACACTTCAAGTTTTTTTTAAATTTTACTAAAATTTTAAAAATATTTTAAGGTTTGTTCTGTTGATTCTGATAAACGGACTCTTCTATTTTCTGCGGAAAATGAATCTGATCTTCAATTTTGGCTTTTTGAAATTGATAGAGCAATTGCTACAAAGCAGAATAAGGGTTTAATTTTTATTTAATTTTTTTTTGAAATTAATAATAAAACATTTTTTATAGAAATAATAACCTCTGAAGATAGTGCTTCACTTAATTCGTCTCTTCGTGAAAATTCTGCCAGTGCATCATATCCAACTGCAGGCAGTTCTTCTCATGACTCTGAAAGTTTAGCAAGCGAAGATAGTGTTGGAGGTGTTATTAAAATAATGTTTTTTCTTTCAATATTCTAAAATGGATTTTTAGTTCGCGATTCAATTTCTCTTTGGAGAGGAAAAAATGCGGCTGCAAAAGCTCTTCGGCCACCAATTATTGAAAGAAATAATTTATTCGCTCTTTATTGGGATTTGGAGGTTAGTTTTGATAGTAGAAATTAATAATATTCGAAAAAAATATTTAGCCATTACATGAACCTTCAAATGTCGAAAAGAGCCCTTTAGCTGAACCTCTTGACGAAATTGAATTAAATAATGCCAAGAGTGTTCGACAAATTGTCCCCTTAATGTCGGCACAAAAATTACAACCAAAAAAGTCACTTTCCTTGCTTTCTGCTGATGATACTGGATCTACATCAACATTAAATGCGACAGCTGTGTCTCTTGTTAATAGAGAAGAATCAAGTCCCGACCCATCTCATTTCGAATTGTTTGGTGAAAAGTCTGAGTTACTCTTTACTGCAAAAGTCAAACAGTTTGACTTAAAGGCTCGTTTCTCGTGCCGTGATGCACCTGAACAGGTGGGAATTTGTTTAATTGTGTAATTTTATTAAATTTTAACTAAAAATTTTCAAAATATGTTTAACTATTTTTAAAAATTTTTTTATAATTATAGATTGAACCTTTCTTTCTTCGTCTTTTCCTTTTTGATGCAAGTCAAGGCAGTAGAATTTCTGAAGAATTCCATATTGAAATTCCAACTCAAAGGTACACTGAGTTACGAAATAGTAATTCTATGGTAGTCATTTCATCAAAACAACATAATGGAAGAGTTCACGGAATTAGTAGGCAAAAAATACAATCAGCTGAAAGAGTAATTTAAATCAACCAAAAATTTTTAAAAAATATTTTAGATAATTTGTTCAATTCAAAATCCTCGGCCTGATTTATATTTGGTTGCTATTGTGGAAAGAATTCTCTCTGATATTCCTGCTGATATTTATACAAAGCCTAATAATTCAATAGATGCTAAAACATCAGTAAAAATACAGAAATCAATTTCTGCATCCTTTTTACGCCTTAGCCATTTGAAATCAACTTTTGCTTGGACAGCAACGTAATTATTTAGCTTATTGTTATCTTGAGTAATTTTGATATTCCAGACCAATTTTTCCGTCACTTACAAATGGTGGAAGTTATTCAGTCCAAAATAGTTGCATTCGTAATTGTCCAATTTATAAATGTGATGGACGTTTGACTGATGGTGATCTACAAAAATTATTAATTGATATGCAGAAACCAGAGAGAACAGGCAAATGGGCATATCTCCCCAATGCTGGGTTAACTTTAATGGCGGATATTACATCAATTTCGAGCCAAATACCTAGTGAGTATAATTTAAAAATAATATTCAATTCCTTCAATATCTTTTCGGGTCTAAAATTGATTTAATCAAAAATTAACTAAACTAAAATTTAGTGCGTATTTCTTCTACATATCATCCACTTCGTCCTTGGAGAGCAATTACTCCTGAAGGTAATGAAGTGACTCCTCCTCCTTCGCCATCTTTTGAGTTGCAATCATTTGTGGAACAAAGTGTTGAACCACATCGTGGATTTACAAATTTATTATATGTAAATTTTTTATTTTTTTAAAAATAATTTATTTGTTAGGTCTATCCAATTTCACTCAACTATTCAGCCCAAAAAACATTCACTCGTGCACGTAATATTGTGTGTAACATAAAATGGGTTTGTAATAGGCAATTTGATAAAAACAGTTCATCACGCTCTTTTTCTTCAATATCTTCCCCCCAATCGTCACCAATTTTTAATCGAATAGAACCCAATGGACCTTTAGTTAAATCTTACAATTGTGCAGTGCAATATCATGAACAATGGCCGTATTTTAATGATGAAATAAAAATTCAATTGCCTACAGCTCTTGACTTAACTGATCATCTACTCTTCACTTTTAGTCACGTTTCTGTTGCAAATGCACTCTCTGGAAAACAAAATAATGAAGTAAAAAAATAATTTAAATAATATTTTTTAAATTAATTTTCAGCAAATAGAAACTCCAATTGGC